AGGATTTCAGGAGTGCTGGTTGCGCATTCATGCGGATGTCACTCAGACCATCCTTAGAGAACACTGGAACTTCCTGCCCTTTGCATCCGCTCCACATCTCCATGTTCTGCCAAAAGCCACGGCTTTCAAGGTCGTAGAAGCGCTGTAGTGGTTCCTGCAGAAACATAGGGCATACTAAAGCATACCTCAAAAACATCCAAACCATTTGTTGCTAATTGTAACTTTTATCAGCTTCCCAAGTTCTTCACGGCCAATCTTGGGTTTTTGTGTCCCAATACAGAAGAAAACATAACACTTTTTGGACAAACCCAAGTAGTTCCTGCGGAAACCAGCCGCTCTTCCTGACCTCATCCACCACCAACCGCTGGACTTCGGTCAACTGCATCTGATCCACCTTCGACTGGCAAATCAGCGCCGCCAGACCCAAACACCCGGCGCGAGTCCGATGCTTCACGTCTCGACCCACGGCAATGACGGAATATCGTCCATGCCGGAAGAAGTTGGTGTAAAAAATGTCGGGGAGAATTTCTTGGAAGTCCTGCTGCAGTCTTTGTGGGAGATCTTCACTCTGGGGCTCCTCGTTCACCCCTGCGGCTCGGTAGAACCAGTTCTTGGCATCGGCAAAGATTCTGGCCTGGGCGTCCTCGCACAAGACTAACAGGGACTCCCGGTGCCGGTGCCACCAAATCCATGAACCGGACACCGGCAGCCAGGCATTTTTTTTAACAACCTGAAACAGGGTTCAAAAACATTGGATTTACCATGGCTTTGTCATGGTTTACCACGCAACAGATTGCGATTCAAAAAAATGGGCCAAGTGGTTTGATAACCCCACGGGGGGCTTTGGTGTTTCCCCACTATCTCTTGAACCACCTCCCACCTCTGGCCGATCTCGCCACTCCTCCCAACTCTCAGAACTCTCCTTTGGTTGTCCTGGTTCTGGCTGCAGCTGAATCACCTGCGCCGCTCGTGCCGCAGCCAGGTGCTTGCAAAGTGGAGGGTGGCAGGAAATCGTCCCCTCCGCCAGAAGGCAAGCCACTGACAGTGCCAAGAGTGCAGCATGCTTGCGCTCTTTTTTTCTGCCTCGGGCTGTGGGATCTCAAGTTGAGCAGGTTTTGGGGATGGTCGCTGTGAGTCGTGCCGAAAACTTCTATTCTGTGAATGGCTGGTTGTGGGTAGAGGGGAACCGATGGTCAATGGTTGTATCATGTTGTATCCATCTTTTTTGTACATACCCAAAGCTCCCCAAATGCCTTATTTTTTTTGGATGCAAACATCAGATTGAACATGCTGCGCTCAATCCTGCCAAGCTACTTCCGAGTCCAAGAGCGTGCGAATCTCTGCCATTGTGCAGCCAGCTGAGGTAAGTGGCAAACCCGCAGCCATCCCCCAGTTGCTTCAGCAAATTCTCCAAGCCCATGACTTCTTCGAAGGGCCACTCCTTCTCACAGTCATAGCAATTCTGCATCTGAAGCAACTGCTGGGCCGCTTGTGGAAAATTGCTGGTCGCTTCGTTCTTCAGATCCTCAGCATCCACAATGACCAGCTCGACTGAGTTTCGTCCAAACCAAAAGCTGGCCCTTTGCATCCGTGCCATGGCTCAATGCACTGCTGCTTCGCGAAATCGAAATTTCAAGTTTTGGTGATGGATATTTGAAAAGACTGTCTACCCTGGATTGTTGAAGGTGGATATGTCCCGTGTTCAATCCATCTTGTGAGCTGCAAAAAAAAATATCACCAACCAGCCACTAGGATGGGTCCCATATAGAAAGGGGTTTCCGAAGTCATGCGCAAACCCCAATAGCTGGATGCTTTATCATGTGAAATCCCATCTAGAAATGGATGATTTGGGGGTAGCCCCCCCATTTTAGGAAACCTCCATATGTATCCATATGTCCCATCATGATGTCTTGAAGCTAAGACCGATCAAGTTTTTGATGGTCCCAACTGGAAAAGTCCCTTTAGACTTTAGACCACCTCCCGCTCCCTTTCACATTCTCATGATGCCTTATATCTCATGGGACCTACCAGGAAGGACTGGCACATCACCCAACAGATTTTCTGGTTCTTACCCAATGATCCACATCCGCACCGTCACCCCCTTTCCCACACTTTCCCACCTTGCTTGTTGCCTTGTTTGCATCATGCAAAGCCTGTGGCGCCCAGAAATCGCGACTTTAAGGGGCGCCCAGAAGATGAACTAAGGATGAGAACCTTGGCGCCCAAGAGCCTGAACCACCCAAAAAGCTCCATGTTTCAGTGCCTTCATGTTGCTGAACTCCCGAAACTCGATCCTGGGCGAGCAACTGGGGCCACACTCTCTGTGGAGCTACCCTGCCACAGATTGGCTACTCTGGCGTTGGTGCACTGCTCTAAAACCTTGAAAACCCAAAAGATATGGCTTTGGAAGGATCACGTTCCTGTTGGAAAGCACCATAAATCGCATGTTTCTTCAGGAATCAAAGCCGGAGCCCCTGGTCGGTTCCCAAAAATCATCTCCAGGATAAAAAAAAAAAACAGCACACGCCAAGGCCCATGTCTTCCCCAAAACTCCAAGTTTGAGAGATCATGATGTGTTTTTCAGTGACTGGGATGAGCCCTACGGCCCTACAGTGATTTTTTGATATTTTTTGTAGATGGCAAGTGGGTTGTAAGTCCCCTAGCACTGGCAGACTTTGGACGCAGCTCCTCGCTGTTTTTTCGATGCGCCGAGCTGCGCATTCTTGTGGCTCTGAACCTGGCGTCGAAAACCAATCTCCGCCATTTGCAGATCTTGTTCCTTGGGTTTCCCTATGGGCCCCATGGGTTTTTCATGTCGTTCACAGAAACTGGAGGCGAATTACATCATTTCACCTCAAAATTTCACAACGGAGGAAGCCATATCAATGTGCGCCCCGGGATCTGTCCCCATGACTGTTGAAATCTCCAGGCATGATGGTCGTGGTTGCGACCCATGTTCGTTGCTTGATCTACACTGCAGATGGTTCAAGCCTGAACAAGAATTCTATTGTCCCAACCATGGCCTGCAAACAATCTTGTTTGGGATATGTGATATGGCAGAAATATCTCCATTCAAATGGCCCCCTCATATCACCATTCACCAAGGCCCAAAGCCGTTTTTGGGGGGCGAAAATTACTTGAACTCCCAGGTTTCTAAACCTGGAATCCTCCAAGATCTCCATCACCGAACCCGCAGTTTCGCCCGGACCTCCGACTGGTCCCGCGTGGCTTTCAATTCGTCGTCCCCAGCGCCAGCGTCGGTCTTCATCAGCTGAGCGACTTCCCGATCTCAGTTGGAGCTTCCACAGCTTCGCACTGAAATTCCATGATTTTCAGCTTTGAGGAAACATGTTTGAGGAAAACTCCTGGTAAAGTTGTGCCATCCAATAATGATTTTGGGCCAGAGGGATGGACCAACGGATGTTTTGCCAACGGATGAACCCAACGGAAAACGAAGAAGTGGTGATTTTCCATGTGAAAAATGGTGGTTTCCCCATGAAAAATACGGTGATTTTCCATAGTTATGTTGATGGAAATGATATATATATATATATACTGGCTGGTGATTGACCTACCCCTCTGTAAAATGATGGTTTGTTCGTAACAGTTGGGATGATTATTTTATTCCCCATAGATGATGGAAAGTCATAATCCAGCCACGTTCCAGTCACCACCACCGGGGCTCCAACTCTCCTCCTCCAAGATCTCCTGCGATGCCACGTATGTGTACCCTCTGGTTATGACATTCACAGTTCGCCATGGAAAGATCCACCCATTTTTAATAGGTAAACCATCTATTTCTATGGGCCATCTATACCATGGCTATGTTAGTCATAACCAGATGGTAACATATGGAAAATCACAATTTTTCAATAGGACAATGATCTACAAATCATGGATTACAGGAGGGTAAACAAACAAAATCGAGATGATAGAACTTTGGCTTACTTGTTGCTCAGAAGTATCAGAAATCGCTCACTGAACAATTTCGGTAACATTAAAATCAATCCAGCCATGTTGCTGGGTTCCAACCCTATCTGATTGCTTGAGCCACCCATCTCAAAACTATGCTTAAGTCATTGGTGATCAACCCATCTGCCGAAAAATAGATGTGTTTGAAAATATGAATAAAACAATAATAAAACCACCCACCCGCTATGTCTTAGTTACCACATAGTTACCACATGTTACCCCCATGTGAAATGCCACACTTCGCACCACTCCTTGGGATCCTTTCCGTCGTCCGGCGGCTTTAGGATCATCTTTTCCTCGGCTGTGGAAGCAACAGGGCAGTCTTTTGTTGAAAAAAACCCAAAAGTAGATAGAAAATGACAGAAATTAATGAAATGATATGAAATGACATGAAATGTAAATCTTCGATTCTTAGATACATAGTGAGACATGTTTTTTGTTTCAAACTTTTTATAGGGTGTCACAGAACAACTCTCAGGATCCTATGCAGAAAAAACCACGTGGCTGTCAGAAAATTGGGTACCCCAAGATCCCTGTGGATTCAATCACCATTCCGAATTGTTAAATCGAAATGTGTCGTCGTTTTTTTAATGATTATATAAGTGCCAATTCTTGGTGCTTAGAAATATGTTTCTTCCAACGAGAGATCTTCATTCTTCATCTGGTCAAATCCCTGTTGTTGTTGCTTAAATCACCATAATCACCATAGTTCTGGTTGGTGATTGGCCTACCCCTCTGAAAAATGATGGAGTTCGTCACTTGGGGTTACTATTCCCAATTGGAAAGTCATAAAAGCCATGTTCCAGTCACCACCAACCAGATATGCTCTTGATATACCATCTGCTTATGACATTCACACTTCGCCATGGAAAATCCACCCATTTTTCAGGTAAACCATCTATTTCTATGGGCCATGTTCCAACCAGCCATAGTTTCCATCCGCCGAGCGACAAAGGCTTCCTGGTCGCGACCCTCGGCCGCTGCGTCGGCGAAGGCCTTGGGCGGGGCTCTGGATCCGAACATGAGCCGAAAATCACCTGTAAAAGTGGGGATATTCGGGATATATAACCCACAAAAATGGGGATCTATGATGATTTAAGCCTCAAAGATTGGCAATGGATTCAAGAATCCGAAATGGCTGGGTTTTCATCACGAAATCTAGGAGTTCATCGACCAAAAATGTGGTTTATGCACATGGAGATTTCAACCAACCAACAATTTCAGGGATTTACTGTCATGGGATGTAACCATAGTGCTTTGTCCCCCATAAATCCCCCATAAAACTTGAGTTTTCACCAGCTTCCCCATGCCTGATGCGAGACGTCGTTCTCATGTTGCGCGGCTTGTTGCTCCTTAACCTGGGACGTTACGGTCCGGGACCCGGCCCGGCGGCCTTCGGCCTGGCAAAGCTACAAAAAGCGAACTGGAAAATCACCATGTTTGAATAGCTACCCGGCCTGGTAAACAAACAGTTTGCTATTGAAAATGGTCCAGTCGAATAGTTGATTTACCCAGCTATAAAATGGGTGGATTTTCGATAGCTATGTGGCTGTTTACCAAAGGGTAAATCATCCATACATGGCCCTGTTCAATGGCTAATTGTGCTAAATTACCATAGGGTAACTGGAAACCCACTTGAATTGTGCAGGAACTAGGAATCTTTTGTGGTGAAACGGTGACACCTCAAAATTACACAAACTTGTAATCACATCCTTCTGACATTACATAGCCCTCAAACGAAAATGTCGATTTAGTATTGACTCGGTTCATTTTGGGATCTATAGGGATTTAATATTAGGGACGAGATTAACTGGGGTAAACATCCCATTTACAAATGGATGAACTTGGTTCCATGCTATTTTGTTTGCAAACAACTCAGATTCACATCCAGCAAGAAAGTACGCATTGTCGGTATGTAGAATCGCAAGTACAATAATATAAGTACCAAAGTACCATCCAACATACGGTCACATGCCAAACATTACCCATTACTCTACCAGTACTACTTATGGCTAGTGTCTGTTCACAAGATGGTCCTGGTGGCTTTGGGGAGAGCGCAAAATAAACAACTCTTGTCTGCCTACTAAGCTTACTCTCCGGTAATCAAACGTGGCCATGGGAAATCCGATAAATGGAGGTGTTAATTTGAATGGGAAAATAAGCTAGAAACGGTGGATTTTCCATTGCGTCAATTGATCACTGGAGGGTATCTGCAATCTCCACAAGGACACAATGTATATATATATACCCTCTGGTTATTTAACATAGCCATGGAAAATGACCATTTATAGTGGATTTTCCCATTAAAAATGGTGATTTTCCATGGCTATGTTAAATAACCAGACGGTATATATCCCCATGGTTTGATGCTCAAAATCCCTACCAGAGGTAGGTTTCGCAGCTCAGGCCGCCCCGACGTGGTCCTTCACAAAGTCCTTCAGATTTCGCTCGTGAAGGTCATGCGCTTCCGCCTCGCTGTGAACGGCGCAGCAAAACCATGACCCTTTCAGGGTGGAACCGCGGAAACCCGGTTCGAACATTGGGTCATGATGGGGATAAATCAAGTCAAATACTACAAATATGGGGGGGGTTCCATTAAATGGGGGATCCCCAATAGCTGGTTGGTTTATGATGGAGAATCCGATCTAAAAATGGATGATTTGGGGGTGCCCCCATGTTAGGAAAGCTCCATATGAAGATGGTCTAAGATGAACATTTTGAAAGATTGTAAAAATGGAAATGATCTAAATTGATCTCCAGAAATGGGGATATAATGGAGATTTCATGGGATAAAACTATGAATGGCGTTTTGATGCGTTTTGCATAAGGATTGTTATAAACTGATTGGAACCCATTCCCCGTTTCTGGACCCAGACCCACTACAGAACTTGCTTAAATTAGGTTGTGTTTCTGATGCTTGTGGGTCTCAATATTTTATCATATTTGATCGGTTTTTTTCCTCTGTTCTTCCATCATCCAGCCTGTTTTCCTATTTTTTGCTGATTAAAAATCCAGTTTCAGCCTGTTGATTGTTGCATCTGGTCAGCTCCTTGTCTTTGTTCCCCATGTTTGATGGTCAAATCCCTATGTTTGACGGCTAAATCCCCATGTTTCACAGCTTAAACTCCCATGGTGTGATAGCTAAATCCTACAGGATGGGGCCCAGTGATGTGAATAAGTTGGTTTATAAACCATAAAAATAATCCCCATGAAAACTAGTTTCATGGTTTATAAAGTTATAGATATAATGTATAATGGTAGATATATCAGTGATAAATAAACCATTAACTAGTTCTAGTTATATCTACCATAAACCATAGCTTATTCAGCCATTGATTTCTAAACCAACGTTTCCCACGTTTTTCCCGCTGAAACGTCCCATGTTTTCTCCACGGAACGACTCGCCGCCTCGCCTTGGCTTGGCGCTCCCACTGCTGCAGCCACAGGGCCTCCTTCTCAAGGTCCTCTCGTTGCGCCGAGTCCTGGGACGTGGGAAATGGATTGTATCCATCCACAATAGGGATGTTTCATGGGATTTAGAGGGAATTTCATGGGATATATGTAATATATTTCATGGGATATATGTATGTATATGTACGTGTATGTATATATATGTATATAATTAAATATATATATATGTATGTATGTATGTATATGTACGTGTATATATATATATGTATATATATATATATACCTAGCCAACTAAATATGATATTTGGGGTTTTCATCGGTTTTCATAAGTCATGGGGGCACACCACACCATCCAAGTCGACCATGACTTCGTAGATTTTAGTATTGAAACAACCATGGTGACTTGGGGATAACATATGGAAACAGCTAAATTTCTCACTATTTTTGATTGGGATAGTGTTGTTGCTATATGGGGATTTTATTTGGCAAGCATCAAAAATTTGGTCAAAGGTGGGGACTTTAGCATCATACATTGGAGAGTTTTCTTCAATGAATCAAGGAGCAGATTCAACCTAGAGCAGCCTTTTTTTGCGAAATGTCGAACAATTCTGGCTGTAAACTTCCAGGGTTTCCACACGACCATCAAAGCTGCTAAATTTAAGGATCATTTTACTATTTAGCCATCAAGACTTTGGATTTCATTGATCTGAGGCACAAAAGTTGATTTTCCAGCTGGATCAAAAACGAAAAGAAGCTCTTCAGCCAACCGAAGCTCATGTGTTTCCCCATTTTACCCTAGGTACAGCTAAACATCAAAGCCAGAAACCACGCTGATTCCCAATGACCCGCCACTTGAGCCCCTGGCTATGGGATGCTTGTGAGCCTCGGTGGTAAACTTCTGCGCCATGCCTCCCACCACCTGCCATTGTGACACCCAGGTGGTGAGTTATGAAAGAACCCCAGCTGTGGGACAGGGACTGGTTTGGTACTACAGTGTATCATTGATCGATGGTTCTCATACGTTCTCAATCACGTTCCGTTAATGTTTCTGGGGGCATCCCTATTTTCCAACTGGAAAAAGGACGCAGAATGGGAATTGTGAGTCATCCAATGGTCATCCAATTGCGGATCGGGTACAATGAGATCTTTCACTCGATTTGCGAATGGTGCCAATATTCGCTGGTGAGATCCCTCTTGTTCTAACCCTGGTGGCAAAGGCGCTTAGCCCAAGCTCAAAGAGATGGGTCAGGGCATGGGTCAGAGATGGGTCTGGGCTTTGCCTTGGGCTTCACAGCCTTCCCTTCCTTCTCTCTCTCATTCTCCCTCTCCTTCTCCTGCTTCTTCCTCCACGCCACGGCCCGTTTGAAGGAGCGCTCCAGCTCCACCTCCGAGTGGTCTTTGGGCTTCACCCTGAAATTTCGCGGCACGCCACCAACTAAGCATGTTGCATGCCACTGCTGCTCTGCCTTGCGCCATGTCACCCCGCGGTACGGCATCTTGGGGTGGAACACCGGCAGTCCGGCGTATCTGTTTGCCAGGGTGGCCACGGGCTTCACCCGGCGCTGCACGCCGGCCTTCTCCCGGAGCTCCAGGGCCTTGGCCTCAGCCGCCGCCTTCTCGGTGAAGTAGCCGCCATGAATCCTCTTCTCGCCGCCCTTGGGGCAGATCTGCACCACCCACTTTTTGTAGTTCTTGTACCACGACACCCCCGGCACTTCGCTGGTGAAGTTGGGGTCCTTCTGCCTGGGCTCGCTGAGGATGCCCTTCTCCACCAGCTCTGCATGGAAGGCCTTGGCGGCCTCGAGAGCTGCTGCATCGGCCTGGGCCTCGGTGATGCCTGCGCCAACGAACTTTTTCACAGCAAACACCTGATTGGTCCAGCTGATCTTGTTTCCCTCGGAATCAAGTTTGGGGAACGTGACTTGCCAGGCCACGTGGCTTCTGTTCCACGTGATATATGGAATGCCGCTTTGCTTTGCCAAATTGGCTCTTGTGAACACATATGGTTTCTGCTCCCCGGAAGGTGGCGGGGGATGCTCCTCAGCTATCTCTGCCACTGGGATTTCTTTGACCCTTTGATCTTCAGATTTTGCCTCGTCTGCTGCGAGCCCTGCAGATTCCAAGACTTCCACGCCTTGCATGGCATGGGGTCTGCCTGCAGATGCCAGGCCAGAGATGTGGTGTTCCATCTCCCCAAGGTCACTCCTCAACTGGGACCAAAGTGCATCTAAGTCCATCTGTCCCTTCACACCATCGCCAAGCGCCAAACGCCGGCGCTTGGCACGTGATGCCTCCAAAGAGTCCATGGCTCCAAGATAGTATGGACAGCTTTCCGGACATGCCTGGGTTTCTATTGGGCACGCAGAGCCATGGAAGCGGGAAGACATACTGCGTTCACCATCTAAAAGTGCCACTACACTGCTACACCTTGTATCAAAGAGATAACAACACCTCGAGTGACCAAAAGACCTGAAAGGCACCCTTTCAAGGGCAGTCTCAAGGGCAGTCTAACACCAGCATCCACCAAACCCATGTTGACATCTGTGCAACTCCAAGCCGCCTCCGCCTGTTCCTCCTCCAACTTTGCAATCCTTGGAGAAGCAGGCCCTTCCCAAGCATCCAGAACGTTGATGTCACACGTTGCGAAAATCCCATCGTGATTTTGGATCATTGCGGTTGGGTTAAAATTTTGAAGACGAAAATGGGACAGTCTACGGAGTGGAATCTCCAGGTCAGCATTATTACAATCAAACCCAAGTTGATGCTTCATTGTTGGAATCGAATTGAATCCGCACATGGAAATTCTGTGAAATCCCCTCCATGGCCATCAATAGTATCCATATCATCTCCCCAATTATGGGTCATTTTGTATTTGTACTCCCAGGTTTGTTGTTGCTTATGGGTATATCATATATATATATACATACACACCGTGAGATGTATCCAGCCATCAGATTGCTATCCCCATTTCAGTATTTTCTGTTGATAATATCCACAATGCCTGCGGATGGTTATGGCCATGCCGCTAAATGGATCAGTTAAATCTCCCTTTTCAAAACCATGCTTGATGATCAAGACCCTCCAAAATCCTACAATATCTACAATCCTTCTCCAAGTTCAAGCCCAAAAAACTAGGATTCGAATCTTTCGTTTCTTTTTTCATTTGGCAGTGTGTCAAAACCTTGTACCCCTGGTAACTGGGATTTATGGATGTTCATCCCCCTAAAAATGGTATCTATAGGTTTTGACCCATCCCCATTTCTCCAGAGAAATCTCAGATTTCCGTCACGGCCAAGTCGCGCATCTTCGGACCTCTCGATGTCGTCCTCCGCGCGGTCGCGCACCTGGACGTCGAACACCGGAGGTCTTCCGAGGAAAAATGGCACCGACTTCTGAATTGACCAAGACCAACGAGGGATTGGAGATTTCAAAACTCGAGATTTAGACATAAGATGTGTTCACAAAGTTTGGGGAGTCAACCAACAAGAACCATTGAGATTTCAACACTTAAATGAGAATTGTAGCTACCAAAAATGGGATTTTTTTTCCGCAAAATCAGCTGAAAAATTGTGCCATTTCACCGTCCAATGGATTGATGTTCCCGTCCAAAACCTCCATGAATTTAGCGGGATGAATCGTGGCCCAAATGTCCCAGCCTGTTGATTGGATGATTGGATCCGTTCCCTTTCTTTGCGGAAACCAAGCTTTCTACAAATGGGGTGAACCAACTATGGTTATGAAAACCACTTAATCGTTCATTACGTACACGTGGACGTTTCCTAAAATGCGGCTACCCCCAAAGCATCCGTTTCTAGATCGGATTTTCCATTATAAACCATCCAGCGATAAAGGGGTACCTCCATTGCAGGAAACCTCCACATACCATGTTCAAAATCAAAAGTCGCTAACTCACCATGCATCCATCCCCTTCTGGAAAGTCCCGCATCGTGGATGGTGTGGAGATCTTCATCATCTAGCGCCTCCTGAGCTCAGTACATGTACTGTGGCTCTCACCATGGACTTTAGACCCTCAAATGTACGGACATCCTGTAGAATTGCCGGTTGACATCCATTCTGGGAGAGAAACAAAGAATCTGCGAGTTGAGATTTTGGTGAGTTTTGGTGAATTGAAACTGGGCATCTCAAATCTGTCGCTTGAAAAAGAAACGCCTGTCGCCACTTCAAACTGGATCCATTGGATTCAAACCTCTTAATTTCTTCATTGTTAAATAGCTAGGGGGTCCTAGCGGCCAAGTCGTCGCCCTCCCCAGTTTTAGGGGATTCAACCTAACCTTTATATTGTTTGAGAAGGTGGGAAAAAGATGGATGGATGTATGGATGTATGTATCTATCTATCTATCTATCTCTCTATCTGTCTGTCTGTCTGTCTGTCTGTCTATCTATCTATCTATCTATCTATCTATCTATCTAATGTAGTGTAATGTAATGTAATGTTATTTTATGTAATGTTATGTAATGTTATGTAATGTTATGTAATGTTATGAATGTTATGTAATGGTATGTAATGTTATGTTATGTTATGTTATGTAATGGTATATTATGTTATGTCATGTAATGTAATGTAATGTAATTATGTATGTATGTATGTATGTATGTATGTATGTATGTATGCATTCATACAATTTCTTGATGATGACATCCTCACACTTTGCGCCTGAAACCACTGATACCACCCATCCGACTCGAGTCTCCTCCTTCCGCTCGGTATCGATGGCTTGCCTGTGATGGTTCACCGTGAGGTGCCGAAAAATATGGGGATCGTCTGTCAAACCAGGAAAACCTTGGGAAAACCACAGGAAAACCTATAGGAAACCAGAGGAAAATGGTGACTAAAACAAGAAAAAATGAATTTAATGGGAAACTATGGGGGGATCATCGATAAAAGCTTGATTTGGAGGTGCATTTTGGGATTCTGAATTGAGCATGGGATATTCGCCTTCATAAGTTTGTATTTTTTTTCACCCTGATAGCTATGGTGAAAATTGGTGAAATACATCCACCTATAAGTGGAACTACACCCCCAAATATCAGGGCAAATAGGCTGGTATGACTATGACATACTATGACTATAACATACTATAACTATATATATATACGTTTCCTGTAGATATTCCCCACAAATCCGTCCATTGATTGTATCACTAACCATACCAACCATCCGAGGAAATTGATTTTCGTCTAGCCTGGCAATGGGAAATCCAATTTTTGCGAAGTCGAACATGTCATCTGTAAATCGTGGATTTCCCAAATATCAAATTCATATATATATATATACATATGTTCATACATATGTATCATAATGTAAATATCCGTGTTTCTGGTTTCCCCAAGCATCTTCTCCATGCTTGACATTTTGGGCCTTCAAAACCGAGACTGAGACTGGGAACTGCAAGATCGTTGGCATGTCGGACTCATGCCCCAAAATACCACAATATACGTTTTTACTTTTAACTCCGGACTCATCCATTTGATTGGCCATACATCATTGTATTGGCCAGAAATGATCTAACTTATCATCCAACTTACCATTTGATTAGTATCCCAATAAATCGCCATTAATACTCCATTAATATTACACTATATTCCCATTCTATCTTATTTACCGTATAGAGAGAGAGAGAGGCCAAAATGCCATTAATAGTAAATTCAATAACTCTATCTATATATATATGCTATATGCATCTATGTAAGTCATATATATATATATCATATGCAATATATAACTCTATATATATAGATAACTATATATATAGATAACTATATATATAGATAACTATATATATATCCCATTTCATTGGCCATAAGAATTCACCAAGATCCCAACTTCTTCCCCGGCGCCTTAAGGCCTCCGAAAGTCCTGCCCTCTTCGTCTTGGAAGCGGCCTTGGCCTCGTTCAGCGCCACGTGCGCAACGTCCCAGTCGCCCTGGGCGTTCGGCCGAAGTAATAAAAATATGGCCCAAGTCAGTACTATAAAGCTATATATGAGACTATGTTAATCATGGTTACTGTAACTGTGGTTAACTACAGTTATAATCATTCTGAAGGAAGATTGACTATGGCATGGGTTTTTCAAAGATATTCCCTTTTTTGCCGGGCAATTCTTGAAATTGTCACATTCTATCTACTCCAGGATGACGATACACCCACCCCAAAGTAGATGGTTCAACTCAAAAACCAAAATACCCATAAAATGGCACCTCGCGGTGAGGAAGAAAACAGCGCTATTTTGGCTGGAACATTAAAAAAAAGAATGCGCCATTTATGTGGCGTGTGTCAAAGATCCAATGGAGGAAAAAATCGCCCCAAAATAGCGCATATTGGATGACCAACTATTTTTTAAAATGAAAAGGTCGATGGCGCAACTGCCACCCCAGTAGATGGACACATAGGGGTATAGTTTATTAACTTTGCTACATGTCCGATCATTTATGTTTGTTTATACTGTAGGTTACACATGTTTGTATTGTACTGTATATAGATATTTTGCACATATATGGGCATCCTGAAGTGAAGGATAATTTTCGCTACTCTGCCACTGCCACTGTTGGCTAACAAACATCCCATGCAGTAAATCCCGTTCAAATTCCACTAGATTTGTTTATCCAAAAAATGAGTTGCGCCATCTATGTCCCTTAAATCGCATTTAATTTTTTGCCATACCTTGAAAATGAACACTGAGTGTTTTAAAACTGATCCTGGGCATTCTTCATGGATTGAAATACCATTTTTCAACATATTTGGACAAAAGTATTTTGGACAAAAATATTTCAAAATTTCATTGCAATACCTTGAAAATAAATCACTGAATGGTTTAAAACTGATTGTGGACATGATTTATGGATTGAAATATCATTTTTCAACATATGTTGACAAACATATTGAAAAAATAAATGTTCATTGCAATACCTTGAAAATGAATCACTGAAGTTTAAAACCGATTGTGGACATACTCTATTGATAGAAATCAATTTTGTAAGAATATCGAACTATTATTAAAGACATGCGCAAAGTTTTAAAATTCCAATCTGTCATACAGATACTTTTTCATATTTACCCACCACAAATGTGACATTTCTCATGTTCCCGCTGTTTCCTTCCCGTTGTTGGCTTCCCCGTTTACCCCGTTGTGTTGTTCTCTGCCAAATTTTCCACATTGTGGGCCGTGTGGCCTGGAGTGGTTCATTTTCAAGGTACCCTCTGGTAAACTAACCTAGCTATTGAAAATCACCATTTTTAATGGGAAAATCCACTATTTCTATGGCCATTTTCAATAGCTACGTTAAATTACCAGAGGGTATTGCAATGATCTTTTTTTTATTTTGTTGTTCTTTTTTTATTTAAAAAGTGCTTCTAAATGTGATTGCCAATGCCAACCCCCCAACCCGCCTGCTGAGCAAAACACATTTACAAAACAGAACTTTGTCCCCATCATCAAGCCCTTGCCTGACTTGCGCCATCTATGTGGTTTGGAATTGTTTGGAAACAGGCCCGATTTTTAGGGCATATTTCTGCCTCAGGATGAAAGGAGATGCGCCACCTATGTGGCATATTTTGGTTAGGTCGGTTGAGGGATGTCGGGAGGTATGAGGGACTTGCGCCATCTATGTGGGCATTCCCAGCCTGACTTTGGCGAATGAATGGGACTTGCGCCATCTATGTCCCCGAAAGGCAGCTTGATGTTGAGGAAAACTTATGGGTGCAAACCAGGGCAGAAGCTTGCAAAAAATAGGTCATTTTTAGGGACTGATGGAGCATCTATCCCCCTGCATTTTGCAGCCATCTACTCTGGGGGGGAGTGCACGGTCGGGGACTGTGTTAAGCAATGTTATTGAACTAGAAAGAATACTCTTTTTTATGGGCGAAGTATTATTTTCTTAGACTTTATTTTGGTAGAACATGTAAAAACAATAGTAAATACCCTGGGGCCATACAGTACTAGACATACTTGTTAAACCATGGTAAATACCTCGGGGGTTAGTTAACAGTTAACAGAACGGGTCATCCTAGGTTCGTCGGCTATACTTGTAGTGCATACATACATGTCTGCGCGTGGATGGTTTCAACAAGATTGGGGAATGGTCCGTGAATTTAGTCCAGGCATCGTTTATTGCTGCTGGGTGCCCCTCTTTGTACCATCCTCTTCGACAGGCGGGTATGTCTCACAATTGGTACCCCAAAACACCATGGTTAATCATATAATCATATACGGCATGTTTTGTGAACCATCTTTGGACAGACCCGTCCATTCATGAGTCACTCGTCAAAATTCCATGTGTGATGCTTAAATCCGTTCTTGTTCATTATAGTTGATGATCAAAACATTCATGTTTTCAAGGTGTAATTCCACCATTTTCAGAGAGCACTTGAGCACTTGGCCCCAGAGTCACCTTGGCCGCGTCCATTTTGCTTCTCAAGGCCGCTGATTCATTGGTCTCGTCCTTGTGATGGGCCTGGTAGAACTCCCTTAGTCCCGCTCGGGGGCCCCAGAGATGGCTTGCATCCATGATGCGCCCCAGACCCATAGAGAGACCTGTTTCAAACACTACTGGTGGGACATATGTCCGTTGATTGTGAATCCACCATTCCTGTGGGTGACATGTGCATGCTTCTGAACTTAAATCACCACAAATATCAACCTGAATCCACATGTTTGCTGTGTTTGTTCATCCAGTTCTATTGGTTATCTGTCCAGTGAAACCCCACTATTGCAGCCACTGGATTTAACAGGGAACCCGTATTTTATGGCCACATTCAAGTTGAGAAAATCATCCATAACTTTGGAGGGTGCAATATGTGCAAGTTTTCGCAAGTGTACATTCCTTTTGTTTGCTGCAAATTATGAATCCACCATAGTTCTACCATGTTTTTTGGTTAAAGCCATATGCTAAACCGCAGTTGGACTCCGTGGTTCGCTTGCGCTCTTCAGCCGAGCTTCAAGTGTGCCTTGGCGCTCTTCAGCCGCTTGTCCGCCTCCTGGCGAAACTTTTGTCAGACAAAGCGTGATAAACAAAAAAAACAATGAGAATGATCTGGATTTCTTATTGATCATTGTTTTGAGAATTGATCATTGTTGATCATTCTTGATTTCTCTAATCATTCTCAAAACTATAAAAAACCGTTTAAACAACATAAAAAATGTGTCGTTTATCCAGTCAAGCGTGAAGGATTTCTGAGGAAAGTCATGATGAAAAATATTGCGGTCAAGTCCTTGGGGGTTTAGACCCTCTGATCGTCGAGAATGTCGGTTACTAAACAACACGGGCGTTGTATGGTGGAAATATAAACATGATAATTATGTGGTTACAAAAAAAAAAACAATTGGATATTTTAGGGGTTACTAAATATAAATGTACTGTTGAAGTATAGACTATTTCACTGACTATTTTAGTAGATATTTACAAAAGTCTATCTATTTTGGGGCTCGCTTGATATATGATCTATCTTGATGACGCCCACTTTTTAATCATCCAAATGCTGCAGTCACAAATGATCCAGTCGCCTTGAAAATGTGGTTCTTGGAATGCACCACTTCCAAAGATTCCTCGGCCACTCGCAAGGCCGAGCGTTGGACCATTTCAGACGCTGGTTCCGCAGCTGCCCACTCTTCGGACACTGTCCGACATTCTGCTTTATTGGTCTACCCTCATAGGTAAGTCACTACACCTTGGAAAATCTGGCCGGGGAAGCACTGACAAATTTGAGACTGAGCAACAGGTGTTTTGGGATACAGCCAACAAGAAGGGTATGTGAAAAAGAAATGCGAAAAATGGTGAGACGACAAATCAGTCATTTCTCCAAACCTCTTCTGAATTTTGAAAATGCTGAATCTGCGAACAGTTTCTTTTGATTTCTTCGCAATTTACAGATGTTTGATACGTGAATGTGGCAAATTTGGAAGAATAAAATGATTCCTGGTTCATCACCAACAGAGTTGAACCCATCCATCGCACCCAAACAAAATGATGCTAATCTAACACCAAAAAACAAACCAACAAACAATTGGAGCTTGAGCTTGGTAAATTAGAAGATAGTACAATGTCAAATGTGTGAATAAAAACTCAAGGCAGAAGGTCCCAAAGGGGAGGAGGCGAAAAAAGAAACCTTCCAAGGATTCGAGGTCTCAGTCTATACCTTGCTAAAGCAAGTTCCTTCAACTTGCACAAGCTTCGTGAAACGCTTAAAAAAGAAAGTCAAACTCAAAATCTGCAATTAAAAAACTCATAAGTTCAGAACCTTTATACATGCCAAGGCACATCATAGGCGTCCTGCGCTTTCTTCACAGCTGTCATGGCTGCAACCTCCTCAGGCCTCAGAGCTGCAAGCCATGCAGAAATTGGGAGGTCACCAATGAAAAGTTGGGGAAAATCACCCGAATTTTCGGGGGAAAATCACCCAATGTCCGGCGAAAATCGGCAAACCATCCAGGGAAATCACCGAAAATGTCACTCTTAAAATGTGGGAAGTTTGCCGAAATTGAAGGAGTTCATCACCATGGAGATGGACGCATCAAAAATGTCAGGGATTTGACCAATGTGACTTGGAGTTTGGCATCCCCACCGGAATGGAGAATTGAGCCGGAACAGTGGTACCCTGGTCTTTACACCGTTGAATAGCTGGTGTTCATGGATATACCATCAATCCATAGGTCCCATTTATATCATTTATGGCATGAGCTTTTTTCGCACTGTTGGAAGACTGAAGTCCAAATCCACTTGTCATATCTCATGGTGGGGATTATGAATTTTCCAGTAAAAAAAAACAAAACCCTGAATCAAACTCGATCTGCTAAAGTGAAAAACGTGTCTTCCCCAGCATTTTGAGGCGATTTCTTTGGGTTTCATGGATACCCAGTCCAGCGCCATCCTCCGTTTCTGTGCCGCGGCACGTGTCCGGGCTCCGCTTCTCACCACTGACAATGCAGCGCCCGTTGTGCCACTCCGTGTTCCTCTCCTGGTCGCAGACCTGTTTGGTCTCGATGACCATGCCTCAGCCGCTAAGAGATGTCCACCTGTGAGTGGGTTTCCTGGTGGATCAACAAATCACCATGGCAAACCATCGATATGCGGAGGGATGATGGGATAGTCATGGGATAATAATGGGTGATTTATAATAGATTATATAATAATGGATATCACCCGGATTATTTAACGGGATAAGGATATTTAATGGGATATTTTTTTATGGCAATTCCACCTAAGACTTTCATATCAAGCGCTACGAGGATCCCAAGGCAGAGATAACCCTTACCACCACTCACAAATAGTACGGATGGGATTGATGCTGTGAATATGTCTACATACATACTATTATCATCTATATTTATCTATTATCTATAATGTATCAAAAGCAATAGGCAAAGCAAAGGCAATAATAATAATGTCATTGGTTAGAATGGCCGAATTTTGGCCAAGGCCCTTACTTGGAGTATTGCCACTTTGGCCCCCGGAACTTGTTGCACATTTTGGCGCAATTGTAAAATAGTGTGGGTGTTTGCCGACTCGTGTTTTTTTGAATCTAGAAGAGTCAAGAATCAACTTGCTTCCATCTCATTGTCTTTGTCATTGGATTGGTTTAAGGGAAAATCTTAACCGGAAACCATGGTTTTTACCATCAAATATAGGTAGGGCTTTCCTGTAAATTTTCCCATCATCCCCTCATCCAATTCTATGAGAATACTGATTCTGAACACTGCAATCGCACCGTCGCACACCGGTGCGAAGCAAACCAGCACCGCATCAGCAGTTTTTAATCAATGATCATCTCATGGAACCGCCATGGGAATTGATTGACCGACCTGCCCCCCCCCCAAAAAAAAAGTTCCAAACAACTAGGAAAGAAAAGAAGGGGGATGCTATTGTTTGGGCAACATCAACAGTGTATATATATATATCATATATATATATCATATATATATATATCATACATCCTATGCATGTATTCCCATATAAAACATCTACCTGCACAGAAACACCTGGGCAAATGACGTGGCTTCTCCACCGGGAATGACCTGCTGAAATCCCAACGGAGTCCATCTCGAATGGCGAACCCACCATATTTTGCTGCTTCAATCCCTCATGGTTGTCACTCATCATCATCATTTTGATTGGCTAAAAGCACATGGTTCATCATTTCAATCGAGTTTGGTGCTGAAATCATGTGAAATCCATTGAAATCCTGATCTTTCACAAGTTTTGTTGGCATGAAATCACAACTCATCACCATTTTGCTTTGGTACATCCCCAATTTTCTTGGCGAAATCTCACTGTCCCAATTTTTGGGCTCAACCAACCCCCGAATCCCCCGAATAACGTTCGGCCCAGGGGGCCGAATTTGTTCTCCGCAGGGGCGCCCACCACGGTGTTGCGACCCTTGATGCGGCGCTGCGCCTCCGACTCGGCGTCCTAGGCATTTGTCATACAGGATGGCGCCCAGTGATGTGAACGTTGGCTGAAAAAAAAAACCTGAAATAATCCCCATGAAAACTATAGTTATCTATAGTAGATAGTTCTATGGTTTATGGTAGATATAACTATATAGATAACTATATGTGGTAGTTATCTATAGTTATATCTACCATAAACCATTGTGTTATAACTATAGTTAATGGGGACTGTAAACCATTAACAATGGGGCTTATAAACAATTTTAATAGGGATGTTCCATGACACAAACCATCCAGCGATAAAGGGGTACCCCATTAACTATAGTTGGTTTATAAACCCCAATAACTAGTTCGTTACATCTACCATAAACCATAGAATTCAGCCACTGAAATAAACCAACGGTTCACACTTTCGCACGACTGGGGGCCCCATCCTGTAGCGATGTCACGGGATCGTAGTGGGATACCGGAAACCAATACTTTGTCATACTCTCTATTGGCTATTGAATAGCTCAATCACAAATAATCACAAAGAGAGGATTTGGGTTTGTCTGAAAATAGGGTATATTCCCAATGAAATAGCCATTTAATAGGGATTTCATGATCAGCAAAACCATTGGGTTTAGGGGTACACTATTTTCAGACACACCCATTTCTAAGCAAGCTAATGCTTGATGACTAGAGGGTCATGGCGATAAGAACGCTATTCCCATGAGCCTTGATGGACTGAAGAACCAAGGCCTCGTTCTTCTCGGCCCTGACACCATGGGTAAGCCGCGGCAACCCCCATTTTGGAACTCGAAAAATGTTGGAAATGTGCAAATTGATGGAGGATACATCATCACTAACAACTTTTTTCACATCCTGGAAACACTTCTTTCGGCATCGTTTTGGGGGTTATGATATTCCCGGATTTTAAAGAAGAGATTGAAGGTAGCAACCCTTGTCAAACCACCCCTCCGATTTTGTTTCCCCAGCTTTTGAAAAGGTCCTAGTTGTTTGGGTGTGTGCCTGGGTGATACTTATGGCGATCCCCAAATCGGTGGCAAATGGAAATCAATCATTTCACCCTTTGCAAGTCTCCCAAAACTAAGAGCCTACAATCTCATTGGGGGCCCCTTCCCTCATGTCCAGACAAACTCAAGTACACAATAAAAATTGGTTGAGTTCTCGTCTTTGGATAATTCCGAGTTAAGTGCCTAGATTTCATGTATGTCATCCATTTTTCATGATGAAATCTCCATGTGAAAAACCATGTTTGATGGTCAGATCCCCAAAGTGTCACCATTTGGTCATTTCAAAAAGTGTTGACCCTAATGGACCTGTGATAATCCCCAAGATTGGATAGTATCTGGGTAAATTACAATATTTCACCAACCTGAATAGTGCGGCCATTTGGGGATGATTCCCCAAATCCTAACCATGATTCCAGTGAGGGAGAACAGTGAGGTCGTTATAATTTACCCAGATAGTATAATAATAACCGAACCAATCATCAACCAACCATATTTTATCAGCTAGATCCACTTCTATCATCTTATATCCCCAACAGTTTGATGGTTGTCAAAATCATGAAACAAAATCCCTGTTACATGACAATCATCATCAACCAACAGGAGTTTTAAACATTCAGATCCTCGGACTGTCCATTCTAAAATCCCCATGTGTCCATCATTCTTGTTCGTGAAATCCCCAATTCATCCCCACTTTCATGGTCATGTCATACTGGTTGGGCAATAGTTTATCCCCCAATCAACCATCATTCATCTATTGTATTAGATTCCCAAATCTATATTTCATGGCTACATCATCAACGGGGTAATAGTTCATCCTCTCTGATCATTGCCAATAGAGTGGATACGATCCCCAAAAACCCAAACCAAATCAACCAACCATCGTTGATCAGCTATATCTACTTGTATCATCTTATAATAGGATTCCCCCAACGGATTGTGATAATCCCCGATTGAGCAGTGTTCGAAATCCCTCTATCATTCCATTTAATCCTGCTTGGTTTATGTAGTCGGGATTCCTCGTTCTTGGATTATTAATCCCCGAACTAATCATTAACCAACAGAGGTTTAGAACACTGCTCAATTACAGCTTGAGTATTGTCAGTATTGTACAAGAATTCACTGTATTTCAGAATTTGAGGGACCCTGGGCCTCAAGCTTTGGGATTCTTAACCAGCGGGCTGTATAAACCAACCATCAACCCAGATTCATCATGTCATATTCCCATTGTTGGTTTATAGTTTATAGCCTATAAAAACCACTATTAACCACTATCAATCACTATTACCCTCTGGTAAACTAACATAGCTATTGAAAATGGCCATTTATAGTGGATTTTCCCATTAAAAATGGTGATTTTCCATAGCTATGTTAAATTACCAGAGGGTACCCACCAACCATCAACCCGTCAAATCCACCAGGTCCCACGGTCCGCGCCCCCTGGGTTCCCCCGGCTCCAACTGCTCTTCCTGCGCGAAATCCCGGCGCCCGTCCGCGCTCAGAAGCTGCTCGGTGGCGCCCAACTGGCACCGCGCGCAAGGGCAACGTGGCAGGCTGGCAACGAAGAAAATGGGCATGTGAACCATCAAAAATGATCAAAAATGGTGATTTAACCAACAAAAAGTGTGATGATTCAACCAGCAAAATTGGTGATGTCACCACGAAAAAATTCTGATGTTCACCCTGAGACATGTGGATTTATGAGGAAAATAAGGAATTCAGCAACAAGAAATTGGGATTTCACCACCGAAAGTTGGGACTGTTGCCAACCAACATGCAAAGTTGACCTATTAAAACATCGATCATCACCAACGAAACTTGAGATTTTACCATCAAAAGTGGAGATTGTGCAAACACAATAGTGATGTTCACTCACAAAAATGAGGAAATTCACCTTCAAAGAAAGATTTGATTCTAGCAGCAGAAATGCGGGATTTACGCCGTATAAATAAGAGTAAACATGATTTAAGCAGCAAAACTTAGGCACTTTAAGATTTCAGATGATTTCAGGTACACGAATTGGTTACCAACCCAACTTATCGAGTTGCCTAAGGTGTAGTAAAGCCTATGAGTTGCTATATGAGAAGCTGGAAATAAAGGGAGCCTCCACTGATGACTCTGGGAATCTCAATTCGAATACGTCGATGTGATAAGCAACCCAAATAAGTGACCGAATTCTGCCAGAATAAGAAACGATTTCAAAATTGTTTCGGATGCATGTCAACACTTGGAACTCGAGGGGTTTCGGGCCGGAGTTTCTCGTTAACGTTTTTGGGTTCCCAAAAGTGTGTGTGTTTCACACTCACCACCCAGCAGTTTTCGGCACCTCCTTTTTCATCACATCCTGCTTGGACTGCATTGCGTCCTGCAACTGCTCCATCTTGCTTTTTTCCGCTGCCTAGCCCAGAAGCTGAAAACATCGCTACCGCTCCAGCACATGAAAGATACCGGATTAGCAACCCCAAAAAAAGTATATCATCATAATTCATCTATAAATGGGCCAGTTTCCATAGCTATGTTAGATTAGCAGAGGGAAATAGTTTGCTATCTTCCAGCTCCATTGGAACCGCCCCACCATCATTCTCGAAAGCACCTTAGGCCCAAAAAAAGTATGGGATAAAAGAAATACCACTGTTTGTCGCAGTGCACCAATTGTTTAATACCTGTGTATCTATGTGTATATATATATACAGATAGACAATCCAAGACAGGACAAGACAAGATTAGATTAGATTTCGATTGAGATTAAGATTGAGATTAGACTAGATAAATTGGAAAGATTAGATTAGACTAGATTAGATTAGACTAGATTCGATTAGATTAGACTAGACTAGATTAGGTTAGATTCGATTATATTAGATGACATCAGATTGGATTAGATTTAGATATATTAAGATTAGGATTTAGATTTAGATTTAGATTAGATTTAGACAGATACTAGGTAGATAGCAGGTAGATAGTAGGTAGATAGATAGACAGGATAGATAGAATAGATAGACTAGATTAGACTAGACAGATTAGATAGAATAGACAGAATAGATAGAATAGATAGATTAGATAGATGGAATAGATTAGATAGATTAGATAGATTGGATTGGATTAGATTGGATTAGATTGGATTAGATTGGACAGAAAAATAGATAGATACACATATGACCATTTGTCAAAAATAGTTGACAGAAGCTTTGTAAGTTGTTGATAATTAGTGTGGACCTAGTTGTTTTTGGGGTCAACGCCCCGAGGCGGGCGTGGTTTTTTCCACGTTTGTGCTCTTTGGCAGTATACGTGTTTAACGCTCTTGCCGACTGTAAGGTGACGCTACCGAAGACACGTTGCCCAACTTTGTTGCTGACGTCTTGCTACCTTGAGGGAGGGGGGGTGGGATGATAACGTTCCTTTCGACTGTAAGATGACGCTACCGAAGACACTTTGCCCAACTTTGTTGCTGACGTCTTGCTACCTTGACCGCGAGGGGGGGTGGGGGGGGGGGGGGGGATGATAACGTTCCTTTCGACTGTAAGATGACGCTACCGAAGACACGTTGCCCAACTTTGTTGCTGACGTCTTGCTACCTTGACCGAGAGGCGGGGGGGGGGGGGTGATAACGTTCCTTTCGACTGTAAGATGACGCTACCGAAGACACGTTGCCCAACTTTGTTGCTGACGTCTTGCTACCTTGACCGGGAGGGGTGGTGGGGGGGGGGATGATAACGTTCCTTTCGACTGTAAGATGACAGACATCAATACATCAATACATCCAGACTTTGGGCAAGCTCTTCAAAACGAAGAATGCCGACTGAAAGAGCACTGAGGAAAAAAAGAATGCATTGAACCTCAAGCAGATGTTGCGGAATTGCAAAAGTTTTTTTTTGGCATTTTGACATCTTGCAGCAAACGTCAAAACATCATAGATCACAAGCACAAAATACTGTAAATTACAGTGTAAAAAGGTGATTTTTGATTCAATCACCAAGTACACAATTGTAGAAAACCCACACCCGCCTCAAGGCGGTGTTCCCTTGTTTTTCCTCTTCGTTATGAGGCGGCACGCAACTAAATTCACCAGTTCTGCAAGACAGCGCTAGCAAACCGGCTAGGTTTGCGCTGGTTTTTTCTTTCACACCCATGTTCAAGGATATTTTGTGTGTTCCTGCCTGTTTTTTATTTTAACCTAAGGATGTCTTAGTGAAATTCTGTGCTACTCAACAATTTTCCTATATTTTTGAGGTTGCGGCTCAACTTTGCGAATTTGTACATAATTTTACCCGCTAGATCCCCGCTAGCAATGCGCTAGCAAAAGTTTCAAAAAACGGCTCTGGTTGACCCGTGACCCAGTCGCCACCAGAGAACTTGTAGTTTATCCTGTCTGTTTGACAAAGCAGCAGTAACTGCAAAGGCAACCACCAGCTCTGCAGATATTCCAGTTCCACCACTAACAACTGGCAGCGGCACCCACTTCATATAGACGCGCGCTAGCATTTACTGCAGGTTTTAGCTACGGCTTCAAACATGAAAGATAAAATGCAGGGTTTCAGACTATTTAGGTCAGTCATGGTTTCAAAGGCACAATAAGAAGCGGCACGCAAGGAATTACGATTTATAAACCAAACCAGGAAAAGACATTTTGGCAAACCGTCATATACATATCTGTTATGTGTATGTATACGTGCATCTGTTATTTGAATGTATCCGATATATATATATATAATTATATATATATATACACATACAATATCTATAGCCTGTATATGTCTGTATGATGCACATCACGGGTGCACCTTGTCATTGGCAGGTTGGCGGCTAATGTCTTTGGCCGCTTCCTTTGCCTCGAGTCAAAGCCGGACCAGCCTGGTCTGCTGTGATTTACAGTACCCCCTCTGGTCAACATACGAAAAAACTATGGAAAATCACCATTTTTAATGGGTAAATCGGCAAATCCACTATTTCGACTGGGCCATTTTCAATAATTAAATTAGCCATGTTAGTTTACCAGAGGGTAATCATCAAAAAAACTTTTGACCAGGACGGTCTTTGGTGTGTCTTCTGAATCTTTGGTGTGTCTTCTGGTGATGTGTCAGAGATTCTGTGAAAATTGAGACTGAATCAAAGATGGAATTCATTGAAGGTTGATATCCGATAAGACTGCTACTGGGGGTTGCAATCTGATAACGGGGAAACAAGCGACAAACTGGGGTCAATATTGTAATGTCATGTGATGTGTCAGGTAACTAACAGATGTCTTTGCTCAGGAAATCAACCATGCGACCGAATATGCAAAAAAACAAAGGAACAACAATTAGAATATCATAGAATATCACCAATAACAAAGGGAACAAATAAGAATTAACCTCTGGTAATCTAGCATAGCTATAGAAAATGGCCCATTGATGATTTACCGGTTCAAAAATGCTGATTGTCCATAGTCATCTTAAAAAATGCCAGAAGGGTAGCTGTAGCTGTAGATTTATAGATTACTATAGATATTTAATGATGTTTATATATACATACCCTCTGGTAATTTAACATAGCTATAGCAAATCACCATTTTCAATAGGTAAACCATCTATCAATGGGCCATTCTCCATAGCTATGTTAGTTTACCAGAAGGTATGTCCCACATGATCTGACCATGAAAACAGACCCAGCGCAGCCTGTTGCAACTGCTCTTCCAGCTCGTTTTGTTCCACCTGCAGCGTGGCATATCGCCAGAAATAGCACAAGCCTCATCGATATCCCATGTTGCTAGCTATATCAGTTCTATCCCATTGATGCCATTAATAGCTCATTCAAGACTATATATCAGTTATATCCCATTAGCTAGAACTGATAGACAATAGTTAATTCCTTCATTCTCAACTCATCTCAATTCCATGACATGGTTTCGTTGTGACAAGTCGTCACATTAGTGCCGCTAAGGCGGCATAGGTAGCACCAACCCGACTTGGATAACTGGAAAACTTCAGGAAATTCATGGGGAAACTTCAGGATGGTTTCACCGGTCACGGATTTTCCCATAGGCTTGACAGCCGCTACAGCTGGATCAGTTGAGATGCTGTTGGATTTGGGCTTAATCAATTTCTACCCTTTAAACTCTTATAGTATGTGGATTACACTATAGACATAGATACATGTATCTCATATATATATATACCTTAACCTTCCGAAACCTTAAAAAATAACAGTTTCATAGGTAAAACGAAGTTCTACCTGGGATAACTGGGGTTTACTCTAGAACCAGGTTTTGCCCTGATTCACCTTTCTGCCCGGTCAGCTCATAGATCTTTTGGCTCCCCTGGCGACTTGCAGTTCGACTTAATTTGTCAGTGCCTGAGTGTGCTTGGTGCAGTTTTGGTTTGACTAGAGGGAAAAATATCATAGAGGACAACCCTGACTTGCCATAGCCATTAATACAGGGAGCTGACTTGCCATAGCCATTAATAGAGGGAGACAATAGCACGCAACACATGTGCTGGCACTAATTGGCACAAACTATGAAACCAGCTTTCACCCATTGGTGATAACAGCTACGCAAGTAACGGTCTATTACTCGGTCGGCACACGGCCGTTGACTGGTCACACGTCTGCTAAGACGTGAAGGTCGCCCCACGAAGTCTTCTGAAGGCTGCGTGGCATAGCACAAAGGATTCAACACTGCTCCTCTGGAAGAACCCTCCAGCAAATAGATCATCAGATGGTGATAGGCATGAAATTTTGGCTGAAGGACAAAAAGCGTACGCCCTTCTCCATGTGAAATCTTGCAAAGATCGCTGTAACGTCGAAGGAAACGTAGGCCTTGCTCTGCAGCTTCTCCGGCCTCTGAGACTGATAGCCAAGCTTTCCCTGAGTACAGCACCCGCATGGATGCATTGACCGCAACAGCGGCTTCACCAGATAGTCTCAATGACACCGGGAAGTCGCTCCAATCTTCATTGGAAAAACGATGCTCCACATATTGCATCAACATGGTAGTGAGCTCCCCCTTGTGCCAGCTGCCATTGGGAAAGCACTGCGTCGTAGGATAGTTGAGAGACTCCTTGTTCAGCTTGGTCATGAACGGCCGCTTGCCACGGCCTTTGCAAAAGGAAATGTAGTCTTGACCCAAAGCCTCCATCCTCAAATCGATGTTGCTCTCTGGCCGTTGTTCAGCTAAAAGGACCAGAAAACTGGCTAAGAATGCCTTCCCACATCCTATGTGCCATGTGTGAAACAAATCGAAGAACCACAGTCCAGCACTTTCACCGCAAACGTGGGGAACCTTGAGCAAAGGCGGTTGTACTCTGAATGGACTTTCTGCATGCAGAGTCTTAAGCCATTTCGGAGACCTGCTTCCAATTTCCTCAAAATCATACATGGGTTGTCCCGCACAGCAAAGATGGCAAACTCCAACAGGAGTTTTCCTTTTCTTTCCGGCAGTTTCCTTGTGCTTTTCTGCGTTCCAAAAGCTTCTTGTGAGGTTGCCACTCTTGACCAGCCATGGCCAATCGCCGGTCACTTGCAAAAGGCATCCCCAGAATTGGCCACGGCATTCATGGGTGACACCTTCAGTGACTAGGTGAGAAAATTCATCACTTGCAAAGCTCATGAGCTGGTCAAAAACTTCAGCATTGGAATTCGTATATGAATGCTTGGGAAGAGCAGCAATAAGGAACCTGGAGGTGTAAGTATGGCCCTTGTAATTGGGCAACATTCTCAGATACTCTCGTTTGCCCTTCCGGGCATGCTCCTGCAACCCCCGTCCCAGAACACTGGCACAACTAACTACCAGGAAGGCACTATGTCGCCGCCCACGTCCTTCATCTCCATGCAACAGGAGAGGCGCGCACCTACGGAGCACGACCTCGCCACGCCTCTCCTTTTCAAAAATTTCATGCTGCGGGCAGTGGACCCGGTAATGATCCCAAAAAGACTGAAGGATCGCCTCTTCCCGGACCCAATCTGGACGGTAAAGGCCGCACAAAATGTGCCAATGGTTTTGCTTCAGCAGAAAGCTAAACCAAGATCTCAGACTGAGAACTGGAACAGTGTTGCCATTTCTTCCAGGTAGCTGAGCCTTTTCAATTTGTAAGGTGAGACCAAACTGATTTACCATGATCCTTCGGCAATCTCTTTCACCATTTTTTTCGGACCGCCGCGCTAATTGGGCAATGCCAGCAGAACGGGACACAGCCTGTTCACCAAGATCCTCAACAAAGTTCTTGGCAGTGCGAATAGCCGCTGCACAGGAAGCCTAGGCGATGCAAGGAAATTGCATAATGGCGTTGGCAAGTCAGGGTTGCAAGGGGGATTGGATAAACAAAACTCTTCCAACATTACATCAAAAAGTGGGATGTTAAATGCTTCAAGAGACATGGCGTACAAAGTAACAACTCCAAACCCTTGGCTATGAGTGTTAGAACGGCTTGCGTTGCAAAAGCAAACTCTCACACACTGCAGCGTGATTTTTTTCGACTGGTGCTAGGCCATCATTGGGCCCAGAGTAACTTTTCCATATTTACACATCCATATATACATCATTAGGGTAGTACATAGCCCACCTCAAGATTTTAATTTCACGGCCGGGGGGTACTTAAAAGATCTGTACACAACATAGATCATGTACACCGGTGGCAGCTGCCCGTCCAAGGTCGATTGGTCCGGGATCGTGGTGTCCCCTCCGGCTCTGACGTTTCTGCAGCCAGGCATACCTGGGAGGGGCAGCATGTTTAATGATCGGGTTTGAAAATGGGATTGGATCTACACACATCAACTTTTGAATACTGCGTATGGGGAAAAAACCTGTCACATATGCAAACAAAGTGCTATTGTACTTTTCGATTAGGGCCGCTTCCATCATGGCGGGCCCGCTGGGTTCCAAACTGTAGTACAACACAATCATGTGGTGCCATTGATCTCGAGACATGCCATACCCATACTTTTTGTTGCACCATCTCGAAACACAATTGGAGGTCCAACCGATCTTGAATATAAGAGGTGACCAGGAAGCAAATAGTCTATCCAAGACAGCCATCGCATGAAGCAGAGCTTTGCCAGCCACTGCTCCGATCTCAGGTAGCTGGAAGGAGATGCGCCCGGGCACTTGGCTTTCAGCATCTTTTTGGAGTTGGAGGAGCTGTGGGGTAAGCTTGGAATGGGAATAGAAAACATCGGACCATTTCTCCAAATCGGTTCGTCGTTTTTTCACTGGTTGCAAGTCATGTTTCACTGGTTGCAAGAGCTGATCATCCACACATTTTTTTCCTGGCAAAGGTTTTTTGTCAGCAACTTTTAAAGGGTTCAAGCAACTTTCATCTGTTGACCTTGTCCAAGGGTACGGGACTTGAGCGTCCTTGGATGGAGATGGAAATGTTAGATATCACAAATGCCGAATTTAAAAATCCAATTCGATTGATTATCTGTTTTATCACAGGTGTTCAGTTTTTTTGCACCAGATATCCCTGAACAATCTGATTGCAATCTAGAAGCGGAACGGTGCGATGTAAGGAGTTCAAGCAACCATTGCTCTTCATCGCAGATGGGATGGTCTTTTTGAACCAGGCTCATCAAAGCCAAAATACTTCAGAAAGTTCAAGTAGGACATTTGCCAATTTCACCAATTCAATGTGCAATGTAAGGGTGCATCAAGTGGAACCAAACTGTGCCAGATCCCAATGAATTTGAGGTCCAAACACCATTGCCGATATCTTCATTGAGGCCGCGCAGTGCTTTGCCAGCAGTTTGACCTGGCAAACGATAGCATCCGAAGATGTTCCCATGAGAATCCCATTCATCTAAAAGGGGTCAAGGGTGTACCAGTGTAGCAAAAGTAACATGGTTTCAACTTCAACTGTGAAGACTTAAAAAGTTGAGCTCCCTGCTTGGTTCAAAAATGTTAACATCATAATTACGAACGGCTACTTATGACTTATGAATTCTATTTGATGAGTGTGGCCTTGAACCTGGCCTTGGGTTGCACCATGTTCAGCTCACCCCCACATTTTCTCCCATCCCTTTGCTAGGCTTTGATGCTCGTCGCCAGTGTAGCGGACAAGGACTGCAGTTCACAGTCACTCCACAGCACACTGACTGTACCGCAGTTAATTGTCCAAACTTCTCTTGACCACAAACCGCCTGCACGTATACTGATCTGTGGAAAGCAACAAATAGCCAGCTTGTTGGTTGAACAGTTGAAACCTTTCTTTTGAGGGTTGGTATTCAACACATGAGACGTACAGTTTCGGATGTGGTGAGTCGAGTCAGAGATATCAGAAAAAAAGCTACTTTTGATGAGATGCCATGTTAAAATCCCACCATGCCAACGATCTAAGATTTTTGGGATTTTTTCACCTTCTTCTTGGGAGCCTTTGGTGCTTTGCTACCTTTCGGCTTCACAGCATTTCCCTTTGTTACCTTTGCCTTCACAGTTCCCTCCGTATTCTTGGGGCTGCTCTGAGAGCTGCTCTTGGAGTAGTACTTCTTGGCGTTCCTGCCCAGACACCAAGTTGACTTGAATCAATTGCACGACTTTGCATCAACACACAGCTTTACCCAAACCTTTACCCAGCGCACGGCATTGCAGGAGGCATTGTCAGCAGCGGTCCTGACTTTGAGCTCGATCGCCGTGGCCTTGCTACACCTCAGGAAACCGGGGAAGCTGAGAAATTTCAAACAAGTCTCACCTGATGTTTTTGAACCTGTTGCTTTCATTCTTGGATTTATTGAATCTCAAATGTCTACTATTATTAAATACTTGTAATTAAGTGGATAGACGATGATAGACCTGACTTGATGTGAAATCCAGTTTTGGACCCTGGCACGAAAGTTGCATCCTTCATGGCCTTTTCAGCCATGGTGTAAAACCTCAGGAGGTCCGGAAAACATCCAAGCGTGGGATGGCAAAGTAAGGATATCATGATTGATGTCAGAGATGAGGGAATTGTTCTGACAAGAAAAATATACATTACATCATGTAGTAACCTTGGTTTATCATGGTTTATCATCATAAAACCGAGAAACTTATCCGATCGAAACTGGTCCATTTCTCCCTGTGCCCATGTCTCATTGCATTTGTCATATTCGGCATCGATCTTCTTGATCTCGGACTCCAAGGTAGAAATGCACCTTGCACGAGCAGTCATCCCAAATATGAGGCCATGGGTGAGGATGGACAGTTGAATTCGAAATGCTGATGTTTACCTTTGTTTATGTAGACATTCCTCAGCCAATGATATACTTATATGCTTAACCATACTCAACCAAAATGTTATATGATGACGGTTGCAAACTATATATATAGGTTGAAGCATCCACAATCATTCCTGCACTTCCTTTCATGAGAACTTCCATTACCAGAAGTAAGAAACCCTTTTGTGGGCATGGAACAAATACCGCAGGACTGCAGTCAAAGAAACGACTTGGCCGCATCATCAGTGTAATTTCTAGAAAGATCTCGGGCCAGTGATCGAAGTTTGCCCGACTTCGACATGACTGAATCCAAGACTTTCTTCAGGGCTTCTCTGGTCTCAGGGGCCGCAAACTGCGGGAAGCAAAGAACATAAATGTTAAGTCAATTGAAATGTCTTATCAGGAGATCAACATATTGATGTTCAATTCTTGGTTTATTATGTATACATTGGTCTATTTTCGACTGATTGGCACTCTGAACAAGGAAATCAATCACCTTAATTCAGTACCAAGATTCAACAAATACAGGAAACATATTTTCTGTGATACCCTATCCTGAGCGTACTTGTCATGCTTTGGATCCTCCAAGCGAACTTGCTTCTCCCTGGCATCTCGGGTATCTAAGTCTCCCAAGCGTGCGAACTTGTTCTCAAACTGGCACGTAGGGTCAGAATCTGCCTGGCATTGCCAGGACATGGGATGGGCAGCATGCTTTGAGAAGGACGAAGAGCATTGAATGTCATGGTTTGGGGCCTTAGATCTCTTGGTGTGGGTTTCCTCAAAGCTGGTCTCTTCAGTGCGTTCAGCTGTCTCCTTTGTGACAATCCAAAACTCCTGCTGCCCGTCGTAGGCATTGCACCTCCGTCAGGGATTGTAATGTCACAAGCATGTGTTTTGATATGCTACAATGTTTGACTTTAACATTATTGGCAATCTTCTAACTCTAAAAGCCATAAGACGCAATGAGAAAACATTGCATTGAAAAAGTGGATTCATTGGACAACCCCGTGACGTGAGCCTGATATGAGTGGCCCCAATGGCCGCACAACGGGCCTTTGCTCCGGCGATTTTCGACCTTTCAAAGAGCAAAGGGTTGATCTAAAATGAAGTCTACAAATCATGTCACTTTAAGATTGAAACTGTTTCATTGGAATTAAATTCTGAATTTAGCTATGGTGCGAAAGTTTATTAGTAAGAGAATCTCCAGGGCCCCCCACTCTTTCCAACCAAGATCATCCCGCATCTCCTGCTCGCTGAACCAACCTTCACTAATGGTCACCTTGTACGCCTGTTTGCGCTTCACCAGCACGTGCAGCTCCGCCATGAATTTCTCCTGCTATGGCAGCGGGACTTTCAGAGTATCCCAATTTTAAACATACTATTTTATTTTAGAACATGCTAAGGATCCAGGACTAAACTTTCCCACAATGAATCCAACACTTTCTTGAAAATAATGCACTATAGTCCTTGTCAAAGTTATGTTCTCGAAGTAGATCGGCAATGTTGTTCTTATCTCCATTTTGCCACTCTAGTTTCAACCATTCAGGGCAATCCAAATCTCGACGTTTGGAATGGGGCTTAGTCATTCGATCCAGCCGGGCTCTGGCAGCTCGTCGAAGGTTGAACTGCAGGGGGCTACAACTTCAAACAAGCTTTGCTTTGGTTCCAGACTACAAGCTTTTATAATAACATAAACCTGTGAGATCTATGTTTTCAAAACATATGGGGAAACATAAAGAAGGTGCCTGGCGCTTTGTCAAACCCCCCAGAAAACGTGGAACATCTTCTGCACGTTCTTTGGGAGTTGTGGTCGTGGTATCTGAGCTGCTTGGTGCCGGGCTAGGCAAAGAGGCATCCAGACCCCTCTTGGGAGTCACCACTGGTACCAGAGCCTGCGACGAACTCCAATCATGGTTGTGTTTATTCCATTACAGTTGTCCACCAAACATGTCATCCTGGGAAAACAGAACATAACATCTTATAAAATTATATGTTAATGGTAAACCATAAAATGACGGATGCAGGATGTGGGCATGCCTTCCCATGACCAGCGTTGGCAATGTCATCTTCAGAAGCCTGAGCAACTACCCAATGATTTGCAAAACCACCTATCCATGTAACCAACCGCATCACACTGCCCTGACTATTGAGGCGCTGACCGGCAAGGTTTCAGCATCAGCAAGATCGGGAGGCAAACCCTGAGCGGTGGGAGGGACAAAAGGGATTATGGCATATGTTTCAACATGTTTCAACTGCAGTGCTAGCATTGAGGCACCAACATCGGACTTCTGAGTTGCCAGTTCTGCATCAATGTCCTCACCAAAGAATTTAGTCCAAAGTTTTGCAATATTAATATCACCCTGATGGTTTTGGTTTGCTACGGATATAGTTCCTACTTGTACCCAAGATATAAGAGATTGATTGATAAATTGTAAGCAATGATGAAACCAATATTGATAAATAAAAACGGTCCTCTAATTGCTGCAGCAATTCAGCTTCTTGTTCTTCTTCACTACCCAGCACTGGTTGAGACTGATTAGCAACCTGCTGAACACCAGCCTCAAGGGTTGCACAGCTCCAGCGCTGTGATTCACCCAACAGCTCATGGCTTTCAGGTTGGCGAGACATCTTCTGAGCGGCCCAAAGCTGGGGTCCCTAGAATCTTGAACGCTGGGTTCTGTTCAAAAAAATACGGAATGGATCAATCAGAACACGGATCCGCACTGAATGCAGGAAGTGACTCAACAAAAATCAAGTTTGTATTTGGATGAAGGGGTTTCAGACCAACAAAATTTGGTACTTTTCTCTCAAGAAGCCGAACACATTGCAGGGTTAACTACCGAATTGGACTGGCTAAAGCATTGCGAAGAAAATCGCAAAGACATCAATTTCAAACTTTCGAATTGTGCAGGACAACTACCAGTGGCGAGTTGTTACCATTCGGAACATCGTTTTTTGTCCAAAATTTCCGAAAAAAAACATATGCATTTTGGAGCTCTAAACCCATGAAATTTTTCACGGGTTTGCACGGGTAAATCATGGCTAGATCACGGGTAAATCACGGGTTAGGGTAAACCCCAGTTTTCCCTCATAACTGGGTTTTACCTGGTAAATCATGGGTAATCACGGGTAAATCACGGGCCATTCACGGGTGAATCACGGGTTACAGATTTGAAAGCTTCCAACCCGTATTTTACCCTGTAAAAAAGCTACAAAAACAATTAAAAACTTATCCAGCACCCCTAAAATCCCCTAAAATTCGAATTCTAGTATCATCCGGTCCCATATTCGATACATATATATCGAATATTTGAATATATCTTTTCGGCAAGTACCACTGACAAAAGTCATCCTGTCTTCAACTTCGATGGAATGACATTTCGCCACTCCAAAGGAATTCGAAGGCGTTTCGAACCCCGTAAGTAGGTGAAAAGCTGATCAAAATCAGCGAAGGTCCACAAGTCTTCTGGTGTGTTCCATTCAAGTTGCGTCATGGTGTATAAAGCCGGAGGGGCGCCCTGAGCTGGTAGTTCTGGCTTCCCTTTCGCACCTGCCTTCAGGTCTTCGACCATGTCCACCATTGCCCTAGCAAAGGCCATTGGGTAGATCCTGAAGACAGATGGCAGGTGTGAGCACATAGAATGGGATGATGCTTTATTTCAGGAATTAAATTGAAAACCCTTTGGTTAACTTGAGTGGGAGTTTCCAGGGACACCATCAGTTTTTACTGGAAAACAGTTACTATTACTGGCAAGGGGCTCAGTACCCTTCAGGTGACGGGTCCCCTTATAGCGCAACTTCCCGGAACCATCATAGTATTTCTCGCAGGTTTGAATTTTCTGCTGGTCACTTCCATGTTTGGTCCGTTGCAAAGTTCCTCGATCTAGTCGTCGTACAACAGGACTATTAGCATAGCCATAATGGCGTTTTGCTGTTGGCGCTTTGTAATGTTGCATCCACCACTTTACAGTCGACACCTTGGGCTCAACCAATTCGAAATTTGTTGGGAATCAAAATGCGTATGGAAACCAAAGTGCTGATATAGTTGGCCAATATGTGCAACATTGCGAAACATGAACCAACAGAACTTGAAATAACACATGCCAATCAATAGGAAAGGGTACAATAAGATACTTTACACACTGCAATTGGTTCAGATGTTTGGGCACTAGGAAAACTGAGGATCTAACTGCCGCAGGTCCACCAACACGGAATAGATTCTGCACAACAAATCTCCATGTTGGAAAAAATTCCATTAAGGAGCCGCCTGGCTGTTCTACAGTCCAAGCCCCTCCCAAACACGTCGTCAGGAGAACCAATGCGCACATCCTTCGTGCAAAGAGGACGGCAGGAAGGTTGGAAGTGGGACATGGAGGGGATGGCTGTAAACTTTTAGTGATGTATCCTGGTATCACTTAATATATAGACAAAATCTATGGATATCCATGGGGATTGGTTTTCAAAAACTGACCGTCAAGCCCTAATAACACTTCAACAGTAACAAGGTTAATTGTTGACAGGTTTTGGGACCATGTTTTCAACTTTCGGGATCCTCTCCAGAAGCTTGTTGGTCAACATGACTGAGGGATGGCCAGTGTAGCCAAGAGAGGAACAGGCTGACCTCATACTGGTTCCAACATTGACTTTGCATAGGGAAGAGCATTTCATTCCATAATGCGAGGCAAAGTCATCATGGAGACCCTTCAGCAATACGATCACAGCTAACCTGAGTGGGCATTGTTGATCAACAAGCTGTTTGGTAGCAAAGAACAAACATTGATTGCTTTAGCTTAAACATTTTGCACAGAACCCTCATGTCTGAATTTTCATATTTGTTTCGTATCTTTGGACATGGCTTTACTGTGCACTGTTCTACATGCATGTCCCACGCCCAAATAGACCATATAAAGAAATACCACAACTTATGAAAAAATATGAAAAATACATCTCAGGAAACGCCATCCCTGCAGCTGATGCTAAATCCATATAGTTGTTCTTCTTCGTTTCAGGGCTGTGGTCTTTGATATCAAGCCTGATAGATCGATACTGCGCCGACTTCATGCATCTAGTGAGGTTTCCCATCCCTGCGAAGTATTCGATGTAGCTGAACTCCTGCCACTGGGCTGGGGCGTTTGTAGCCAACAACAACCAATGGACAATGGCGAACTTTGGGAAGTGTCAGAAACTATGTTCTATTGTAGGAGATCATGCCTTATGGAATGATACGGGCATATTCCCTTTATTCCTTTTATTTTCGGGAACCCCTGGTTCACCACATTCCACCAGCCTGGCGCAGATCGAAGCCGCTCCAAAGGATCAAGAGGATGCAAAAAGCGAACTCCTGAAGCAGGACAAGATGATGAGGTTCTACAAAGTAGGGATGGGTGGGGAATGAAATGCACAATGCATACATGCACTAAAAACCTACAATTGGAAATAAGTGTGTGGATGTTATGCATATATACAATGGTTGATCTATTTGATTTTGATATCACATCTTTATAAACATCTATATTTTCTTACCATGTGCAATCCACCAAGACCTTTCCCCCAGCCCGCTTGTATCCTTTGGACACTGAAGCTGATGTAGTCGCCACATCAAATCATCAACAAACGGCATTGCTGCACCGTTATGAGAAGGAGTAGGGTCAGAAACACGACAAGTCTTGACAATTTGAAAGCATGGTGAAGATCCCCAAAACAATGGGACCTGGAGCTAGGGATTCATATGATTTCACAAAAACTAGAGATTGAGTTTAATTACCAATGTGCTTTGCATCAAAGTTGCGATGTTGACATTTTGATGGCCTTCCTGAGATCATCTGCAAAAATATGCGGAGACCAAAGGTTCAGGTTACAAATGCATGGATGAGTAACCAATCTTCTACGAAGCTAAATTATATATTTGTTAATTGATATATATAACCTCTATATATGGTGGATACAAAATTTTCCTTGGAACCACTTTCCCGAGCAACCATGCCAGCTCCACACTTCAGCGTATTTCCCCGTACCTTCCACAGGTTCCTCGCTTTGAACGCATTCTCAAGTTTCGGCCTCAGAGGGAGATTGGAGCAAGAACTTGGGAAAACAACATGGATCAAAACCAACCATGTTTCTTGTGGGTTTGGCACCATTGAAGTCGAAAAGGCATCATAAAGGTTTCATTTCTGGTGGTTTGTAACTCACTATGCGATGGAGGTTGGCCAAGGAAAAGGTTGGGAACGTTGATCAAATCTTCGCTGCTGTTCATCGAATCCCGTTTGAACTCAAAGCTGACCCCTGGTGGATAGTATGTCACAGCATTTCTTGTAATCACATGCCCGAAATACATATATGTGTGGAACTTGATGAGGGAACATTTCCTTTCACCAACGAAGAATCCCATTGGACACCTATGCATTTTTTTTGCCGGCGCTGGTGTCAAGGTCTGATGACGCGATTTGCAGCCAGTGAGTGAGGGCTAAGGACTGATCAAGTGCCACCATTGGTTTACAACTGACTGCAGTTGCATCATTCACGCCCCCAAACCAACAATCCACAAAGTTAAAGATTGGAAGGGATACCTCAAATTGGACCCCTGGCTGCAGTAGCCCCCTTGGAAACTCGTCTAAGTGGCACTGCTGAGGACTTCACTGTTGATAGGAATCTAAAGATGTTGATACATGACTGCAATCAAAAAAAACTACAATGTCTATTTCAAAATTCCTGAGCACAGAATGGACATTTTTTTCAAGAAAAGTTGCCCCAAAACAGCACCAATTGTTTTTGAAATCATAGCTTCTAAGCCAGCCCAACGTGTGCATACCCACATTGATGCCATCTTGTTCACAAGTTGGCAGGCCCTAGCACACAGCTAGCAGAGCTAATGTAGCATCACCTATGGGGCAGAGACCGGTGTCACCTACAACCCTTCAATAACAGAGTTCACCGCTTCATCTAGCGAAGCTTTGGTGTTGGAAATCAAATTATGATCGATCACACCGTCAGACGTGTCCACGTTTGGGTCAGCACGAATCTCTTCCACGCGCTTTGCCTGGGAGAGACACACGACATGGGTGACCATATAATCTATAGTATCATTGCTACACATTTCAAAGATTGTGGAGTCCATCTGAGATATCACCTGTCAAAAAAAAAACTGTGAACAGCAAAACAAAACAACATAATAATTTTCCAATTGCTGCACAAGTTTGTGTTGTACATACTGCATACAAGCCACCATTTGCTCAGCAGCTTTCAATACTGTAGCCATACGAAGTAGCCAAGTTCCGCGTTTGGGGTTGTCAACTTGGCGGTAGGCAAAATCCCTTCCTTCACTCTTGCATTTCAAACCAGCACCCGTCTTTGACCAGTAGATGTTGTAGGATAGGTCAGTCCCTTTCAAATCCCAGAGTTGGGAACGAATCAATTTTTTTTGTTCTTCATCGCACTTGCGGTTCGGGGAGCCCACAAAAGGCATCAAAAACTTGTTGATTCTCTTGGTGTAAAGAATCACCTGCTCCGGAACAGACTTCCCAACCACCATGTGTTTTTTCTGTTTCTTGTGATCTTTGGCAGCTGCGGCTGGCTCTGCTTTCTTGGTTGGTGACGGTTTCCTTTTTTTAGTCTCATTCTTCCCGTCTTGCTTGTTCTGTTTTTTTGACTTCTTCACTGGTGAATTTGCTGACTGCCCTGCTGGTTGCTTTGCTTGCTTTGCTTTGCATTTGGCCTCAGCCTTGGCCTTTGGGGTGGCTTTAGCCTGGCGAGTTTTGGGTGATTTCACCTTCTCGGAGGATTTCACCTTCTTCTTGGGGGATTTCACCTTCTTGGGGGATTTCACCTTCTTGGCAGTTGCTGTTTTCGGGTTGAGCTGCTCAAGTGCCTTCCACCAAACAGCCTGCTCATCAAGGTTGCCGTCCTCATCAAAACAAGTTTCATCCCACCAGTCCCCAGCGTAGTACCAATTGCTGTCATCCATCTTGCTTTTCAAGTTCTCATGTTTTGCCTTCTTTGTAGATGCCTTGCCATTTGCTGAAGCTTGGTTCTCAGTCTCATCTTCCTGCATTTCATCGTCAACATCTGTTTTTTTCTTCCCTCCTCGGCCCCTGCCTTTACCTCCTTCAGCTGACATCCCTCTACCTCTACCCGTTCCTCCTCGTCCTCTGCCTCTGCCTCTCCCCTTCACCGGTTTCAACTCGATCTGATCCTTTCTGCGAATATAGGCTGCCTCCCAGGTGGAAGCATACCACCAAGACTTGAGAACACATGCAAAATCTTTGGAAAGAGTGAAACAAACTAACCCTACCAAACCCCAGCCAGCCTCACCATCATCATCCGTAAAGTCACCCTTCTTGTCAGCAGATGAGGTCAAAGCAGGTTTGTCACCTGAAAGCGGCACATGTTCTGGTTTTGGTACTTCCTCTGTTGGAGTCTCCTCACGTTTCTTTCTGCCTGGGCCTTTGTACATTGCTCTCTTTACATCCGATGAAAGTTCTGGTGATGAAAAAATCTGGGTGCTGTCTGGCACTGGAAGCTCCATCACGGATATCGGCTGGGTCTCGTCGTGATCTCCTGCATAGAGATGATTGGGACACTGGGTTTTTAATATTTTATCAGCAAAACAATGGTGCCAATGAGGCAAGGTTCCATGTCGAACGCCAGTGAAGTTTAGTAATGATCTTGGGGCTTGCAAGTTTGTTAGTTTTTCCAAGAAAAAAAACATGCAAATCACTCATACTTGAAAGTATTTGTTCCTGAAGCTGTGCGTTCACTGGCTTCAGGGTGCTTGCTTTCCTCACTCCTTTTTCGACGAAGCCTCATTATTGAGCGAGATTACTTTTGCAAAATCAAAACTATGAAGTCTTTTGAGCATACAAGTGAAACATTTGGGCGCATAGCCACAGGTGAATCCAATTGAATCCATAAACTTTACATCCAAGATGCGCTTCCAACTTGGCCAAGATTGCCGCACGTTTCATTTGCAGGGAACCTGAAGCGTTTTCCAGGAGTGGTGCTGGCAAAAAGGATGGTGAAATAATTCAATTGAGGAAAAGAAGAAGTGAAAAACACTGTTCAACAGTAGCACCTGCATCTTCTTGTTCATCCTTTTTCTTTGCGTTCTTGTTGTTCTTTGGCTCTTCTCCCTTCTCTTCTTCCTTCTTTTCTCCCTCTAACTTTGTTGGTGCCTTGGTACTTTCCTTGGCTTCCTCCCGTTTGACTGGTTGTGGCTCCTCAGTCTTGCTGTCTGTTGGTTTGCCTGATGCTTCTACTGATGCCTCTGCAACCTGGGCTGTGCCTGTGGGATGGGACCCATCTCGCTTCTGTCCTTCTGTGTTCTGACTCTTTTGGCTTTCAAATTTCTTCGAAGTTGATAGACCTGATCCAGAAGCCTTGTGTTTAACCTTTCCACTTTCTGGTTCTACTATTGGATCTTCCTCTGGGGCTTCTTCTTCGGCTCCTTCCTCGTTTAAATCATCTGTGCTATCCCAAGCGTCAGGGTTCAGATCTTTTTTTGGCTCCTGCTACACTGTCACTAGTTATCACATGTTTGTAATTAGTTGAAATTATACCAAACATTCTCTGTCAAAAATTGTTTGAAAACATGTGCAGTTGAAAGCAAGCTGAAAATGTAACCGTACGATAGGTTGTCCTCATCCTCATCTTCACGTTTCATCTTTGCCAGGATCTGGTCAACCACTACCTTCATTAAAAGAGGGTGGCCCATAGCACAATAGCAGCCGAATAAAGACATACAATATACAACAACTTTGAAAGATTTTGGATGGCATAACTTGGGGCGAAGGAACCTTGCCTGTAGCCCAGGCTCCAAAATCAAGACCAACTGCTGGAACTCTGGTACCTCAAGTATGTTAGAAGGAAATGCGATGCAACTCTTACTTATGCACATGCAGAAATATATATGACAAAGAAACAATATCACATCACTTGTATGTGCAGATATGCATACTTGCATGTATCTGGGACACAAAATGTTGATATGATATTTGATTATGTCGTGCATATTGCATGCCGCTGAGTTGCACGGCTCGGTTCTTCTCGTCTCGCTTTGGTTTTCACAAAACCACACAGTTTCTTCATATGAGCAGCAGAGTCAACAACCATTTTCACATCAGAATCGACCATCCTCTTGTGCACTTCCAAAAACTTGACCATTTCCATTCTCAAATCCTCCACTGAAGGAAGAAGCTTGTTGGGCAAATGAGCCATGCGGGCAAGTAAAGGGATAAGATATTCTTGGTGGCTGACACAGACCTGGATGTCAACCACTTTGTTGGTGCCTTCCATAAGAATTGGTTTCCCTTCTCGCATTCTTTCCCTGAGTTTTTCGTCCCCATCCCATTCAAGATGGACACCCTTGATGTCCAAAGCTGGCCCCTTAGCAGCCACCTCATGCGGCGAATCACGGTACTTCCTGTTTCGAGGCATTTTGCCACAGGAAAAATTGAGCACCAAAAGTGCTGCAATAAAGCGCGCAAAGTGTGCACAGTACATGCCTTTGAAAGTGTTTCACACAAGAATATGCAAGGTATCAATGGTATTAACATGTAATTATTAACAGAGGTGCTGGGTAGAAATATAGGTATTACCGCATATGACTGCATCAATGTGTGAAAGGATGATGCAAAATGATAAACATACTTGATGCGAAATTGTTTTCTCAAACCTTTCTGTTCCGGCCACTCTCCAGGAGATCCCGATAGATGGGGGCCCGGACTTCCTCATGGCGCTGGCAAAATGGGGCCATTGCTCAAACCACCCGGGTGTGCAGTTCTGTGGTGGTTAGATCATGGGGAATTGCACCACCACAAGTCTTAAGTGTTCAAAGTAAGAGGTATTGGTATAGATGGCGATTGTGCTTTGATTTGGTGCTATGACCTGCTTGAAAACTATTTGGGTATCGGCTGTGACCATTGGTACAGGGTTTCTGGAATTTTATTCTGCTAGGCCACTAAGCACAGCAGTTAAAACACATGAGATGAATGGGAAAGCAGCATATGCTGATTATATCCCCTGAAAGATTCATTCAAACCATATCATTATGTCCCCTTGGAGCCATCCAACGAAGCGATGGCGTGTACCTGAACAGGCCGCAGGATGGGAAATCAAGGGTTTGGGGTAAAACTAGGTTTTACCCGGGATACCTAGGTTTTACCATCTGAATGGAGGTAAACCCAGTGTTTACCCTCATAACGTAGGTATTTCATGGGTTTGAGCGCTCAAGGTATATATATATGTATGTATATCATATATACAGATATATGCATAATTATCATATATACATACATGTATATATCTATAGTATTATATATATAGTGTAAGTTATATATATATATGTTATTTACATATCATATGCATAGACATATGTGTGAGTACAAATATATATATATACAGTACACGAGTTACTGTGGGTAAACGATGTTTTTTTTCCCGGATCCTTCGATTTTTTCCCGGACACCACGGTTGGCATCCCCCCACCTTGGCACGCCCCGCAGCGCGCGTGGCTCCCACCTTCCTTGGGGGCTGTCAGAACTCCCCCGGAGTTTTTTGCATGGGAAATGTCTGGAATCCCTACATTTTTCAATGAGATTTCTGTACCCTCTGGTAAATTAACATAGACCCTGGCAGATAGGGTTTGGAAGACTAGTTTCCATTAAAAATTAGTCATTTTCAGGGTCTATGTTTATTTACCAGAGGGTAAGTTTTAAGAAAACACGAAAAAGTAGATCTGATCTCACCAAAATCTGTGCTCACCAAAATGGCTGCGCAACCAACAAGCAACATGTCACAAGCTTCAACGCAAAAGGAAGAGAAAACACTAGCCAGTTCAAATCGAAGCTTGTTCCACAAGTCATAATAGAACCATCATGTCACAAATCCAACACCACACCTGGTTTAGTCGCTTAAGTCCTCAAAGAAAAAAAACCAGGATCCATGGAAAAAACCATGGAAAAATCCCTCTCCATTCACGATCCGCCTGAGGGCTGCATCCACATCACTGTGAAGATCTTTCTTCAACTGTCCAGGGATTTTTTCGTTCAGAAAATGGGATACATCCAGGTGGTTTTTTGATGCACTGCAGTGGCATCACGCCACAAGCATCGAATCTGTGAAGTGCACAAAAAAAAAAACGTTCAAAAAAAAACACCACTTTTACCACTTCACCTCTCCGAATCTGCTCGTGTCCTTAAAGTTGGGAGCCAGGGCTGCATCAACCGCGCCTTCTTCTTCAGATAGATGGGCAGGATATCAGGCCATGCCGGCTCTTGTCTTGCCTCCTGGCAAATTCAAGTCCATCAAAAAGAGGAACAACAAAAATGATTTGAGAAACAAGAATCGGAACCCAAATATAATGAACTAAGAGGTGGTTTCAACCGTTTCAATATGAGATCATTGGGGATCATGATCCCAGGTACCATGGAAAAAGTTTCGATATTTCAAGCCACCAACCATAGCGGGGTAGAGGTGCTGTGCGTGTACAAAGTGAAGTGAACTGGACAATTGTGGGATCCCCTTGGGGATAAATTGAAAAAGTTGGAATGGGCCATCAAGGCACAGAAAAGAGCTGGACGCTGGACTTGAATGTGAAATACAATTGATTAGATTTGATTAGAATGATTAGATTTAGACCAATCATCAAGTCAAATACTAATCTAAACCAGTCGAATCAATTGATGATAGGGCTGCCTTTGGTCCCCTTGCGACAGTCGTACGTAAAGTCGGAATCCTGGATGCAAATTCCAGCTACTGATCTCTACAAGTTGTTTCGTACATTACTTTCATATATTTCGTAGATTATATATTGTTTCATATATAATATACCAACATAACATATATATAATACAATGACAATTAATGACATATTTATATATATATATCCAGAACATGTACATATCTATAGCATTGTATAGCCAAACGTCTAAAAGAAACTGCTGTGCCCCAGTTGAACCACTTGCCCCATGTTTTGGTCTCTCCTCTGCAGGCGCAGAGCTCGCGAAGCTACTTCCGAAGGGCTGGCGCTGAGAGATCTGTGGATCCATGGACCAACCATCCAATCATTGGTGGTTTTCATGGGATATATGGAGGTTAAATGGACATCTTGATTGGAAATGTGAAAATATATTAAATATACCTCCGGTTAATGGGATGTTATAGTGATTTCATGAGATATGGGATATAAAGGAATATGAATGGAAACATACTCTCCGGTAAATCAAATATGCTTTGCTGGACAATGCCTCTTTTATAAATGATGTTAGCGAACTCAACATCCAGCCATCGTTCGGGGATTTCCAGTTGCCAGCATTGATCACTGGTATCCAAACATTCGGGATGTTATGTCATCCGAAAGTGGTGAAACAGTTGAAAAGAATTTTGCATTTCATCCCATCCCCCGTGAAAAAAAGGGTTACATCCCCTCTGAAAAAAATGGTCCCAAAGATGTGTATATCACCCAAAGAGAACACAATAGTTTCTGGTGGATGCTTAACATGAACGGGGGAGTGGTTTATGATGAGACACTTTGATTAAAACATCAAAAACAATAACAATGGGGAGATGTTCTGGTCAACCAATGAATAAATGGCCAAGTTTAAACAAGATATGATTAGAAGAAAAAAAATGTTGGCTTTTGATCATATCCACCCACAAAATATAGGGATATTCATTCACGTCAGAATCAAAAATGGAGTCAACTGATTCACCCGGCGTTGCTGGAAACATCGGCAGTATTCAATCAAATCATGGAAATGCCGAAATATATACTGTATATAGTATATATATATAGTATATATATAGTATATATATAGTGTATATATATAGTCTTTATCGTATATATATATATAGTATATATATATAGTATATATATAGTATATATATATAGTATATATATAGTATATATATAGTGTATATATATAGTATATATATAGTATATATATAGTGTATATATATAGTATATAGACATCACATTCGCCCAAGAAATTGTTTAGCGAATCACTCCACGGAAACGCGCCTGTCGCCGAGCGTCCCAGAAAGCTCCAGGAATTTCATGTCCTGGAGTCACCGTGGGCAAAATGCGAAGAAAACCCCAAGTTAGTCGCTAAGATTTTTTCACCTACAACCATTTAGGGTAATACATATATATATATGTTATATATATATGTACATGTATATGTACATGTATATGTACATGTATATGTACATGTATATGTATATGTATATGTATATGTATATGTATAATATTTCACTTACCTGAAATTAGGCCTTTCAGGCCATTTGTGGATTCCCCTGTACTTTCACCCTCATTCTAGTGATAACAGTGAGGTCTGGATCAAACTTTCCCGGAACAATGGCAGACAATTGGGGTTAACGGTTGTTTTGCGCTCAAGGGGCCATGGTCGAACCCAAACTGGGCCTCTTGAGAATGCAAAATGAAATTTCGAAGGCTTGATACTGTTGAATCTTAGAGCCTTGGAATTGTCGAAGCCTGAAGCAATGTATTACTTGGGATTACTTGGTGCTAGAGCAACACATGTTGGTCCTTTGCATCACACATGAAACATATATAAAAACATGAGATTCCTTTGCTATCTGATCGTTGTCAAATTATCTCTGCTTGAAGCCCAATCTTCGCTGGTTAAATCCAAATTTCGAGTTAAATCCATGGTAATCGGAATCTCGGGACTAAACTGGTGAAATCCCAATTTCTGCTGAAAGACTGAAAGTTCTACCAGGCAAGCAGCATTCCACCCAACCCAAGTTTCCTCCGTCCAAGACCAGGCACGCCTGGAGCACAGATCGAGAGATCATCGATTGTCTATCCGTTGCCAACGGATAGAATGCGGTTTCCATACACGGGGATACCCCAAATGGATTGTTTATAAGGGGAAATCCTGTTAAAATAAATGATTTAGGGGTACCCTCATTTTAGGAAACCTCCAAATGTTTATCGATCATTGAATGGCCCCATTGCAATGCAAGACCATGCCAAAAATAAAACACTGTCCCACCACTAGCGGCGAATCCAGACATCAAGGGCCTAGAAGAAAGTCTTGGAGGAATGCATGACGTACTGACTGGAAGGAGTGAGATCTGTGGGAAAATGATTGATTGCATTGCATAAGTGCGTCAATCAACGACTTAATGAACATGTTGAAGGGTTGAAACAAACAAATGAATGGTGTTCGATCTAAAAGTCTTGACAAGATCAGTCAAAAGCCTTCGGCATGGCACAACATTCGCTCTGAAGCCAAACCCGCTCAGAACAGCTCAGTACCAAACTATGTCAAGGTGGCACGCTGCAAAATGGAGGAGGATCAAAAAATGAACGAACGAACCAGTGACTGACTGACTGACTGACTGACTGAATGAACAAATGAACAAACGAATGAATGAACGAAGGAATGAATCAACGTATGTATATGTATATATATGTATATGTATTTATATATATATGTATATGTATATGTATATATATATATATGTATATATATGTATATATATATATGTATATATATGTATATGTATATATATGTATATATATATGTATATATATGTATATGTATATATATATGTATATATGTATATATATGTATATATATGTATATATATATGTATATATATGTATATATATGTATATATATATGTATATATATGTATATATATATGTATATATATATATGTATATATGTATATATATATGTATATATATATATGTATATATGTATATATGTATATATGTATATATGTATATATGTATATATGTATATATGTATATATGTATATATGTATATATGTATATATGTATCTATGTATCTATGTATCTATGTATCTATGTATCTATGTATCTATGTATCTATGTATCTATGTATATGTGTGTGTAATTTACAGATGTATATTATATATATACATACCATATATATATATAAACTCCATTTACAGGCGATTTCCCATCATGTTGATGTACCATCCTTCTAAAGGTCGACCAGCCAAATAATGGAAAGATTCGCCAGGGACCCTGCGACCATTGGCAAAGTCTCAACCGCAAATGTGGCTGATGGTGACATCATGGTACATCAACATGATGGGAAATCCCGCGATAAATAGTGGATAACATACCAATCAAAAGACTTTATCTAACCAACAACTCTTGAATGTACTGTGTACCCAAACAGAAAAATGCAGGTACCAGGCACAAGAAATGAGAATACAAATTTACTGCGCGGCACTGTATCCACACAAACTGATGTTGCTGAAAACACCTGGAAAACTTCAATTAAAGATCTCTCTTTGAAAAAAGGTCTGTTGCAGGTCCTTCTTAACGCTCGTGTTTTCAAAATGCCTCCCAAAGCCTGTGGCCTGTGGATACCCCATATTTTTGTTCCGAAGCCCTCGAGATTTCCACACCAATCAGCCCATGCCCTCCTGCTTTTGTTTTTTGATGTGTTTTGATGTTTTTTGATGTGTTTTGGGCTCACTCTGACCCTCAAAATTTCAGGTGTGGCTCTGAGATCGGTTTCCAACATGGAGCATTTTGAGGTCGCGATATGTCGCAATCCCTCCACGGCCTGGCGGGTCACCATTCTCCGACCATCGGAACCGCGACTGCACCACGATCAGTTTGGAGATTTTTTGAAGGGTTAGATAGTCAGTTGGTTCGTTTCCCTCACGAAAAAATGAGAGTTCTTGGTGTGTGTTCTTGCACTTCAACTCACCACTTTGGGATCCCATGAAATCGGCAAACCATGTGGTGAGGTGTCCAGTTCTGACAGTTCCTGGGCCCATCAAGGGGCGTTTATGGCAGTGGCAGCTTAGAGCCAAAGGAGTTTGCTGACATCAAATTGGGGTTTCCATAAATGGGGGTACCCTAAAATGGGTGGTCTATGAAGGAAAAACCTATTAAAATGAATGATTTAGGGGTACCCCGCGGGTACCCCCATTTTAGGTGCTGGACGCCAAGAGGGTAACAGCATGTATCATATCACTAAGGTTGGTCTGTGAAGGCCTTTTGATAGCTCAAGTGAAAAAGATCCCAGCGCGAACGACAGGGTTATGAGCCCAAACCGTTGGCCCATGGAGCGCAGGGCATCCTCGATACTTCCAAACCCTTTTTGGTCTGACAGGACCAAGCAAAACTTTCAACTGGAAGCAGCTAAACCTATGGACTTGCCCAAATTACCTTCAGAAGGTGAAGACACGTCCGGGGAAGGGTCAGTGATGTCAGCAAAACCAGTTGAGGACGTGACTAGAGGGAGAGGGGTGTCAAGAAATGAGCATAGGAATGAGAACCGAGAAAGAAGGTTCGAAGAAAGTAAGTACAAGACTCCACCAAGTGAAAGGGAAGGTGTCACAGGTGGCAGTGGCAGGCAGAATGAGGGCAGAATGAGGACAAGACAGGAAAGGGCAGAGGCGAAAAGCGAGAAAGGGAAGAACCTCTCGAGCTCAAGAGGGAGTTGGAGAAAGAGATGGTGATGTTGCTCTGAGACCAAAATGCCAAGCTGATGGCTGAGGTGGAGAAGCTCAAGGCTCGCAATGCACAAACACAAGCAACACAAGCAGCTGACCAGTCTTGGTCTGCAGTCAGCCCGACAGAAGCATCACAGCCAGAGCCACCGCAGACACCAAGGTCGAAAGCACACAACACAGGAGCCAGGTACACACCAGGAGGGACAAAAGTCCCTGAGGGTCCCCCACCGAAGGATCCAACACCACCTCCACCACTGTTACCCCCATATCCTCCATCGTTTTGGGATGGATATGAACCATTGTAAGAGCACCGACGTGGAGCGAGAGGAGTTCGTGATGAGGGGCCATGGCAACCAGCAGCACCAGCAAGCAGCATGCCAGTTGGGGCGGGGAACATGGATGCCTCATGAGCACAGCAAAACACTGCCAAGGCAGTGTTGGGGGGAGAGGTTCACACCTGAACCGGGTCAAACATCAGCAACGGGACGGAATGCAGCAGCAGCGTTGATGCAAGCAGTGCCAGCAGACATGAAGAAAGACATCTAGCAAAAGACGCTAGCATCATGCAAGTGATGCT